ATCATTCTCATCTTTAGAGAGGCAGGGAGATGAGCAATATGATAAATTAAAGAGAAAGAAGTACAAGGGATAGAGAATGGAGAAGAAATAGATTGGATGTTCGGATCAAGTTTTAAAAGTTGTTATCTTTTTCTTTTGTTCATCAGTTGATGGGAATTCCTCTGCGAAGACTAATTTGTGCTTCTAACGTCAACAATGTCTTAACAGACTTCCTCCACACTGGGGTGTATGATCTGCGTAAGAGACCTCTGAGGGTCACCATGTCTCCTGCTATTGATATCCTCCAATCTTCAAACCTAGAAAGGTACCTGTAGTTCCCTCTTATTTATTGTATGTATCTTATGTATTGCAAATATCTATATCCTTTGTATATCTATATATATATATAAGGTATAGATACATTTATGGCATATACTTATCCCCTTTGTATCTGCATGGATCTTATTTATTTCATGACTATATCCTTTGTATATATATATATATATATATATACCGGTATATCAATGGTATAGATATATTTATTGCATATAGTTATACCCTTTGTATCTATACCTTTTGTATATATATTCGAAAATGTACAGGCATTATTTTTTTTCCTCAATGGTATGCTATTATTCACGTGCTGTGTGATTGTGGAATGTTTGCAATGAACATACTGTCAAAATATGAGCTGAGCAAATAATACCCCAGTACTCTGTTTGTTTTGATTATGGATTATTCTCGTTGCCCATATCCAGTGAATAATTGTAAATATTTAAAGATGGCTGCTTGATTTTTTGTGTATAATGCTTTATATAGTTGTATGGAATACCTCAGCCACATTGTTGCATGGAAAATTAATTAATGTCTGTGTGAGAAGAAAAGAAATGCAAATGGAATCTGTGCTTATGCATTAAATATTTTTATAAAACATAACGTCTTCAAAGTGAGAAGAAAATGACCTTGAAATCATTTGTAATGTTTAACTTGTCAAGAATCTATTTTTCATCTTCTGCCCTCAGATTGCTGTTTCTTGCCACAGACTGCAATGGTCCTCAAGTAGCCAGTTTCTATGAACAACTCAAGCAAGAACAGTACTTCAAAGTACCAGATAATGTAAGAACGACATTACTTTATTGAAAGCGAGAGTGAAATCTGTTTAAAAGCATTATACTTTAAACGACATTGGAGTAGATGTGAAGGTTGATATTGATATTTATAAAATGTTTAAAAACCAAGTATGTAGTGTATAAATTCCAAATAATAATTGAATTGGTTTTATATGATATCCTCATTGGTGTGGTTTAAAATGAGTAAATTAAGCATATCTGGGTATAAAGACAAATGTGGATTTATCTGTAACAACCCTGCTGTTTCCATATCATCTGAATTCAATTATCAATGATAAATGATTATCATTTAAATGTGAACTTGATAAATCAGGCAAGTTGTTTGTCAGTATCAGTACTCAATTTTTGGTCTGTCGTAAAGCTGTGAAAATCTTCACCATTATGCTTTGATTCTGTTATCTTGATGTCCAGGTTCTGTCCAAGATTCGAGAAGACTATGGTTTCCATGGAGATTGGTGTGATGAAGAAACGTGCTCTAAGGCTATCAGAGAAACCTTTGAGAGAACAGGTATGATTAGTAGGAGTAGTATTCATTACAACGAGGACAGGTTCATATATCATTGTCTATGTAATGAAGTTAATTTTTTACAATGTCCTGTGAAGTCACCTTTGCAATAATTTCTACAATAATGGTTCCAGCATGTTTGTCTGGCCCCAATCCCTAGATACATGGTTAAGATAATGGCAGTATGAAAAGTAGAACAGCTTGGTAGGGAGCAAAAAGACATTAATAGAATTATACCTGTGATATCAGATAAAATATTATGTACAAGTAGATGTTTTATACCATCAAGTTGATTGTTCCACCTTTCCGGTTCCAGGAATTTATAGATAGCACAGACTCAAAATGATGATAGGAATAATAGATTTTTTGTTTGTTTGGAGGGGGGGGGGGCACTAATTTAGTCAACCCTCAAAGCATATGATATAGTGAACTCTTTCATTTCATATTCTCTCCTATAGGGTACCTTCTAGACCCCCACACAGCTATCAGCAAGGTGGTAGCAGATCGCCACCCCTCAGACGATGGAGCCCCAATGCTCATCTGCTCCACTGCTCACCATGGCAAGTTTGCATCCGACGTTCTCGACTCTCTGGGCCACAGAGCAAGTCACTCCGATAAACCGGACACACTCTTGAATCGACTGGGGGACCTGAACCCTCGACCTGGGCGGCACGTGAACCTTGAGAGGTCGATTCGGAATCCCAGGGTTCATGAGAAAGTTGTGGATGCTTCGATGGAGTCCATGATGAAGGAAGTACAGGAATTTGTGCAAGAAAGGATACGGAACTGAGTGCATGAGGAGATGAATGCATCGGGCTTGCTTGATGTCCTTTTGTTGTGGTAAAAAAAATAGTTGAAGGTTTAACCAAAGATTATTTAAGAAAAGACCTTTCCAGTCAACTGTCTTGCAGTCATTAAAAACTTGTTTGTTCTATGTCATGAAAGTAATTTCCATGGGGTATTTTGTTATCATTCTCATGTTTATTTTGTTGCCATTATAATTGTTTGTTATAATTTGTACTACAGCAATATCATTCATTTTTTTCTTTAAACATGAATATATAGATATATGTAGGTTTTTGGAGGGATCAAATAGATTTCAGAATCTGCTTTAAAATTTTGTATGAAGTTGATTGACATGCTTTATACATCGATTTAATAAAATAACCTAAGAAGTATTTCCCTATATCTGTGAATCGCATAGTCTAAAATGTGTATCATTCTCTCAAATAATTATTTATATTTTTTAATAAGTTCAGCAGGATTCTGCATCTTACTCGTTTAACTGTGAGTGGAAAGACTTAAAATCCCATTTCTAGCCCTTTCCTTTAACACACTGAAACCTTGACTTGACATAAAAACTCTGTGTCAATTGTGAGTGTGTGAGTTTTGCTTGTGCTGTGTGTATATCAGACATGGTGCACAAGTCATAAGCAGCATTGTTATACTGATTAAACACCTGCAATTTCTATAAGCAAACACATGACATACCATAATTTGTGCTTTCATTGCTGTGAGATATGTATTTAGGACTCACCTTGACAAGTTATTTATTCAACCTATTTGTAGCCCTTATTATATGTACAAGAAGAAATGTACAGTACTTGAAGCAAACATGCTGCATACAAATATATTTTCTTAATGATTATTATTATGAGAATATAAAAAGAAAGCTGCTTGGATTGATCACTAGATTAGTAAAGTTTCTTGTGGATTTATGAATCTATTTATAATATTACATTTTCTTTACTTATTTCTCGGAGGGGACGACAAATATTTGATCTAGCATTTTTGTTATGAAAACTATTTGAAAGATGTCAGTTATCATATTATTGACACTACGCAGATCGAGTGAAATGAAAAGTATGTGGCATGGTTTGTTCCATGTATATCTTTTTATATTCCACATACTAAGAATCTTGCTCTACGATTGGTCAAAAGTAAATCACGTGATGAAAGATAGTTTGCCCATTATTGATGGGAGAAGCAAAAAGTTTGTTACACTGTGTAGATAGTACTACTATCTACACAGTGCAACGCACTTTCACTGAAGATTATCCAAAAGTACACTAAAACAGCCGTAATTAAGCGCGCATTACCTATGAGCGCAATTAAAACAAACACATGTGCGCACCGTACCCTCAAGGGGTTAAACTGTTAAACTTTTTGGTGTGAATTTGGGCATGACCTGCGTCTTTTATGTAGATGCATACACGTCCTTTTCTTTTTGTAGATAAATTGTTTTAGATGTGGAATATAAAGCAAATAATCACCTTTTGGTTTCAGGCGATGGCATCACTTCCTCGTCGATCAGAATGTATACGCTATCTTTCCTCAGCTTCGCTTCGGAAAGATAGCTACATCCAGATCGCCTCGGAAGTGATAGTTTGTCCCATCATCTTCACCAACGGTAGTTATTTGCTTACTATTCATGTGTAACTATACCTACTTTATGTATTTTTAGAGTTTTAGTTGTGAATGGTACAGCTCCACTATCTTCTTCATTTAGATGCCTTGAGGGATCACTGTACGTTTAGTATTTTATCATCATTCATTATTCATCTTCAAGGTATTGTTCTGAGATGATGTTTACAGGGTTTGTTATGGGCTGAATTGCAATACAATCTACATAAATGTCCACTTGCTACACTTCAGGTCAAATCTGCTTTAAGTGCCTTAGAATTGTGCCAAACAAAAGCTACATGTATTCAAAATCATGATGATAATAGATTGAATTTTACATAGCATTTAAAGAGAAGGTCAAGTTCTGGGAAGAGGTGAAAAATAATTTGTGTGCGTTATCCTTCTTATTATGCAAGTGTGGAAGAACATCAGATAAGACATGTTCCCTGAAAAGCATGGCTCTTCAAATGCCTTCATATTCTAATTATGTCATGTAACATCGTAAAAATCCAGGGTAGGATTTTTACGCCACATGTTCGTGTAGTTCCATATACATCTTTCTGTGTACAGTGTTTGTAACTTTACCAAGACTTGGCCAAATTTCTTATCATTTTGATGATTCCAGAACCTTGCAATACACACAAATTCTTATATGCTAGATGATCAACCTTTTCTGGTCGATTCCACACCGTTTCCTTCACAATGCAATCGCATGACCAGAACTCAACTTCATCTTTAACCTGATATGTGAAATAATAATCATGTTTAAGAAAAGAATCATCTTCCCTAAAGAAGAAAATATGTGATTTTTTTAAATTTCAGCAGCATTATTTAGTGGGCAAATCATGTACCTGAACTAAAATGGAAATAAATGATAGAGATATACTAGGAGAAGATCTTTAATTGTTCAGTCTGATTGGTGTTCTGTTGATTGTTAAGTAATTAAGACGTAATTAACACAACAAAATTTCAAGTATTAACTATATTTATGCATTTACCGTCACCAGTATTTATTTACTTACTCCCGCAGATGACTCCAAGCATATAATACATTTACTAGATATGATAAAAGAATTCAGAAAAAAGACTGATCAAACCTGTTTCTCTTGCAAGCTAATTCTATCACCAGGATTCGAGATAATTTAAATGTATGATAATAATGAAATCTTACCGAGTATATAAGTTTTGCATTGATATATACATGCCAGCATACTACAATGATGCACTGAATTATCTCTTAAACAGTTGTGTTCATTAGCATTTTCTAATACATGGTAGACTCTATATAAAATACAAAAATACAATCCTTGAAGGAATACTGTACTTAACTACTCTGCAATAAGAGTACTGGTACATTCCTTTTTTTTTCATCATTCTAGATGGATTTCCACATCAAATAATTTGCAATAAATTTCAAGCGAAAGCTCATTTACATGAATGGAATAATTGTACTGAGAAATGTAATGATGCATTGCTAGAGATATTTCTTGACAAATTTCCTTGCTTCAAGGTTAGAAAAACTTAGTACTGCAATCTTGGCATAAGTAAGAACACGTAATATAAATGCGCATAATTTATCATGCTTCACTGATTGCAAATATAATATTAGACTAAAATAGAGAATCAGATTATTTCATTATTTACATTGCACTAATGATTCCATTTTGCTTTTATTTAGCTTCAACTACACGAGTTAGTTATCCTTGTGTTAGACAAACTTAATATCTGGGTGGTGGAATTTAAAAATGAAAGGTAAACTTTATTTACTCACCAAGAAATAAAAACAATATATACATTCATGATATTCACGAGATCATAACATCTAGATGAGAAGGTATTTCAGAATTGTCAATAAAATGTCATAAAATATCAAGGCACATCAGAGAACATACATTCAAACATTAAAAATGCCATCTACATACCTGTGAAGGGAAAAAAAAATCAATTAAATTTTTGATTCACATGCTTCATGATGTAATTAATATTTACAAATGTATAACCTTTGTATATCCCATTATATATGCACTACAAAGAAGATATATACATGTACAAATACATCAATTCAAATTTTAGCCAAAAAAGTAAAGATATTTGCTTCATATGCACATCAATATGACTACAAGTTTAACAACAATTGTTTCAATACTGCCCCAGCATGTTAAGTACTAATAACAAGTACTAATAAAATCAATCAATCGATCAATCAATCGATCAATACACTTGACCCGAAAGCTTCATTGCTCTTGGTACAAGGTCCACTAGAACTACAGGTGTTACATGATTTTGAAAACCCTGGAATGTCTAGGTTTTTTTTAACATAACACATAACATAACAGTGAATTTGAGTTGCTTATTGGTGGTTTGAGCCTACAGGTCATGCAGCCCTTATATAAAAATAAGAATATAGTTGGCAAATTTCTTCAAGATTGCAGTATAATTTTGATAATACGGTTTACATAAGGATTATGCATGGCCAAAATACAATGAAAGTGCAAAGAATGTACCATTTTTTTCTGAGTAAAGCCCAAGAAAATATTAAAGGCCCTTATATGAAACATATTTTCATATTTGTGGTTTACAAAAGTAAGATTCTTCCACATCAACTTTAAGCCCTTCGTTTCAATTATCTTTGAATTGAGGCCTATTCTACATCATTCAACAAAGCCGCTTTGTTTACATCACGCCTCTGATCCATAGCTAGCTCACCGTTGTTATCACCCTTACACTGCATCCTCTCGGCCTCCCTATCTCTCTCTAGATGCTCCTGGCAGTGACGTCGTTTCCAGTCTTGCACTGAAATAAAACGAGAGAAAGAGAACAAAGATGACGGACTTGAGGCCTGAATGATCACTTCCTGACAGGTTCTATCGTTGGATGTCTAGAGTAATTATTACAATAAATCACAGTCAAGTCATTCAGAAAGTGACAAATATTTGGCTAATAGGAGATCTAGATTTTCTTATGAAAGGATGAGGAGACCAAGGAGTTCATACACAATTGGCATCTCTGTATACAGAAGTAGAGATGACCTTCCTCTCAAGGCCTGTTTTCTGGCAATATAATGTTTTTCCCTTCATATATGAGCATTTTTTATAGTGGATAATTGAGTGCATTTCCAATTCAAAGAGGGTTCATGCACAATCAATCTGAGCTGTTAAGGAAGCACCATCACAGAAGGGGAAAAAAACAGATTAAACACGAATGTATAAGACAAAAGTACCTTGACAATCTCTACTGCAGTAGTACTTTCCCGGCTTGATCTTCTGTTGACGACACCTGAAATGAACAGACAACTTGGTCATCAATGAAACTGAAAGACACAGATGATTGGTGAACAAACAGGAGCGAGAAATAAAGAGAAAGCGAAAGAAAACGACAGTGACGAGGCCGGAGGCACATATACCTGAAATTGTTCTCAGAATTAATCAAATTACACTGTACTATATTGTATATGTCATTAAGACTACATGTAAGTAAAATGAAATATATTTAAATCGATTAAAATGAATTTATATTGATCTAAATTAAAAAACAATATATGAAATCTTATCAAATATATTGATTTAATACATTACAAAAAAGAATTTACAAAATCTTACTGCTGGCATTTCTTGTAAGTCTTTGGCTTGTCCTCATGCTTGCCGCATAAGGCACACTGTCTCAGATTACTAATCTTCATCTCAGTGAATTCATCAGACATCCCTATGTCAACACTTTTAGTAGTTTCCTTGGACGCTTCTGCAGGGTGATCTTTCAGCCTGTCAACTGATTTTCTTTCATCCTGAGCAGTGCAACATCCAGCTTCAGCAGGTTGATTGGTGATTGCAGGAACTTGTTCCTTCTGCTTTGGACCAGGAACTTGTACCTTCTGTTTCATCTCTGTACCAGGAACGTGTTCCTTTTGTGTCATCTTTGTATCAGGTACTTGATTGTCCTGTTTCACCTCTGTACCAGGAACTTGTTTTTTCGGCTCCATCTCTGTGTCTGGAATGTGTTCTTTCTGCTTCATCTCTGTACCAGAAATGTGTTCCTTTTGCTTCATCTCTGGACCAGAAACTTGTTCCTTTTGCTTCATCTTTTTATCTGGTTGCTGTTCATTCTGCTCCTTCTCTTTACCAGGAACTTGTTCCTTCTGCTCCACCTCCTTAACTGGTGGCTGTTCCTCTTCTTTTGGAGTCTCATCGTTTCCTACATTCGTTGTCGCATTTTCACTGTCCTCTCCTTTGTTTTCTTTCTCTTTGTCCCCAGCTCTTTGGGGTTCTTTACCCCACTGTTTGTTTTCTTCATCTTTGCTCTCTATGTCTCCATCTTCGCTCTCTTTTTCTGGTTCAAAATAACATTCTTTGTATTCACCCGCACCACTCATTTCTATCTGGGGAATTAGAGATACAAATGAAATTATTATTATTATGTTTTTGTTATTAATGCTTAAGAATTTAAATTATCTCATTCTTATACTTCTTTTTTAAAAGGCCCTTCCAGATTACAGTACTTTAAAGGTAATACAAAGTTTTGGTATGGGGTCATGAATTTGGTTCAAATGAACATATTGGAAGCATATGCGATCCTACAATATTCAGTGATTGTTGTCGCGGTTGAAATTGAGTCTTCAGTTATGAAATTGTAGATAATAAACTCTTTAGGTTGTATAGCTCCCTATAAAGGTCAAGATATTAATTAAGCTACAAAACAATGTTTCTTGATTAAAATCGACCAATCAGCTATTCCCGTTTGAAAATTATATATCACATCTACCTATTCTGAGATTTTCATGGTCCCAGCTACCATTGTACGGCCGCAGGCGCTATTTGAAATATATCAAAATTTACCGGGAGCACCGGTAAATTTTTACATTCAACTTTTCTTGAAAGCAGAAGTGTTTAAGGGGCTAAATTTTCTAGTGCTTCTATGTATTAAATACATCCACAGGTGCATCCAAATATATCAAAATTGTAAAGAATCACTATCCACCCAATTTTCAAAATTTCCCAAAACTTTGTATTACCTTTAACCAGGAGTATTCACAATTTTGGTTCTAGACAGTGGAAATACTTAAATCACTCTTTTTATTAAGTTTACCATTCACATCATTTTACAGAAACGGATATGCAGTAAAACTTTGCTTTGATTTCATTGTCATAATTTGGCATTTGATGGAAAAATCTCCATCTCCCACAAGACTTACTAGTAACTTGACTCATCACTGTCAAAGATGTGCTCCATTTAGTCATCTAGAAAATAGCACCTTTTATTTACTGATTTGGAAGTATTTATCTGCTTGGTGTGAAATTAAAATGTAGGTTACTGCCAGATTTGTGAATTTAAGTACCTTTTTCTTCATTTCTTTCTCAATCTTCCTATTTTGCTCCCCATCCGCTTCGTTACCACCAGGGTCTAGTATTCGTATTCGGCATGCACCTGCTTTAGGATTGGGCATAGGTGGTTTCACACGTCGCTTAGGTAGTGAAACTCCCACGATTTTCTTTGGTTGTGTTCTCTCCAACTCTTCAATAAAACCAGGAACTTTTCTGCATTCTAAAAAAAATCAGGAAAATAACGGGGAAAAAAATTCTTGAAAGAATTATTGTGAATTCATGATTAAGTAAAACGAGAGGTTACATGTTGCTTGTCTACATTAGATAACCCTTGTACAAGTTTGTCACCTATTCATTTCCAGTCCAGTCCTGGAGATTGACTGCCAATCCTCTATATTCATTGTTTGGAGAGGGGGGGGGGGGGGATTTGTTAAACTGAGGAATTGATGTGAAAGTGACATTGCAAACTTTCAAACTTGTTAAAATACCTCTCATCTCAATCTGGTCTTATTTCAACTTACCATCAACAAATTTTTGAAGACCCTCTGCTTCCAGTTTGTCTAAACTCTCCTTTCCTACATGTTTCTTTCTTTGAATCCTTCGCTCTTTTTTTGCCATCTGCTTTTGAGCCGTGCGTGTCACTCCTTTGTCCTTGCGCTTCGCGACGGGAATCATGGGACGTTGAACTGTTTCACCTGTATTATGATGCAAAGGACTCTCACATTCATGCATCCTTTCATTGCAGTGACTGCAATGCCTTATTTTCACATGGAAATTGGGTTCGTAGTGGACCTCAAAGACTTGAGGAAGGACGAAACCCTGACCTATGACCTGCTTGCGGATACACTCAAGATGGTCATGGCACCCAGGACATTCATTAGGATGACGCGAGTAAGAAGTTGTGTTCCATCTTGGGTACTTCAGCTTCACCTTCTTCTTTACTTCCTTTGTGTCTTCATTTTCAATTACAATACTAAGCTTTTTTGATTTATAACGCTGCTTCACCGGATCATCGTCCCCACTGTCCTCTGAATTGTGCTCAATCTTGACATTCACCAGGTTGCGCCCTTCTTTCGAATCCTCTTGGAGTGCATACATTGTCTTGTCAAGTATGGACTTCTCGTATTTATTGATGACAGTGCATGCTTTAACCAGGGTCGGTGAGTTGTCTCCAAACAGGTGAAAGGGTTTCTCAGGGGGAGGCTTCCAGTATAATGTGACGTCTTGCTTGCACTCTTCTGCCTGGAGCCATAGGCGCAGCATCTCAAAAAGACATCCTCCCAAATGAAGCAGAAACTGCAAGGTCTTGACCACCTGTAGAAATCATAGAAAATAGATCAAAATTTATTTCTAACCAAATGTAATTGAATGCATTTTCATAATGTTTGTCTAAAATTGTGACAACCCTTTTCACAGAAACACATACAAACAAAAATGGATGATTCAATCAAAGTGGCATTTGAAAAATAAAACACAGTAGGTGTCATAGTCACAAGGTCATGAAATATTGCCCTGCACAGGAATATTTTTCTATGGCTAGATAATAATCCAAAACTGCTTCCCTTTTTACAATGCACTTGTCACAATCTACATGTAAAGCTCAGTAGAATTGTTTAACTCCAGTTGAAATATTAGCTAGAAATCATGTTGGTATAGTAGTAAACAAAATGATGTTTTATGAACTTAAACGTGAGTATTCTGCCATATCCTAAGCATTATGAAGGTGATGAGTAATATTCATCCTAGCAAGCACTTATGGTTACAACTTATAATTTATGATGGGGGTTGTGTGTCTGGATGCTTAACGAAAATGAAGCCATCACTTTTGCCTTTGGATTTTGACTAAATATATGCATTAAACAGCACTAAACTTCATAAATATTTGTCCTTTATCATATTGCGCGTAACATAATTCTTAAAATATTTATGAAATATTGTAAACTTCTTCAAATTACAGTCTTAAATCAACTGTCCGGATACACAACCCGGTCTTGGGATGCATGTAAGTGGAAATGACAATTTGAACTTCAAGCCAGTACATAGTCCACTGCTTTGACTATGTCCGTGTCAAGTGCTCAATCAGCTGAGAAAATAAGACACCCTCAACGCTAAAACAGAGACAGTCCTTTCATTCTTACCCTCTTACCTTTTAACGGTGTATTTTTTTTTGAGGATAACACAATTAGTGGAGACTTTGCACCATGTGAGGGAGCGTGAGGGGGGGGGGGAGGGGTAATGGTGATCGTGAAGAAAAAAACAGTTACCGGTATGTTAAAATGGACAGAATCTGGACAAGCCAATACCTTGATAAGATGCAGGGTCTTATCTTCCATAGGCTTCCCAAACAGTCTGCGGAATGTGTCTTCACTATCCCTCATGTAGAAAGGGTTCGTCACTGCAACAACAACAAAAAAAGAACATTTCATCGTCATCATACATATATCTTTATCATGTATTCCATATATATCACAAATTATATACCTCTCTTTAGAAATCTAGCCATCTGATTCGCCAAAATTGGAGTCGTGATTTTAGCCATTCCCGTAAAGAAACAAACAATGCCAGTAACGGTTAATGAGTGAGATTCCTGAAAGATTCCGGGTACCAGGAAAAAAGTAACATTTTGATGAGATCCACATTGGTTTACGTGTTAAAACTTACTTTGTGCCAGCGCAGATACCATACAGTGTTTTTTGTCTGCGATTCCCAAATGATTGTAACATTCAGTCATATTTCCAGCAAAGATTAACAGACAGTGTCTCAGATTTTCTGTGATATTTTAACCAATCTTCACTCAACAAAAGGATAAGATAAGAATTCTTGGTAGATTTTTGTGTCAATTTGGTATATAAAAGATATAAAGACTGCTTTAATATTCGAGGCATATATATAAACACCCCTCGGCAGGCCTCGGGTGATAGCACGATCACCTCCCATTGAGCGTATAAAAACAACTATTGTCTCTCATAGCAGTCAATCATTATTACTATACTATGATTTGCTTTGAACAAAAGTAAAAGCAAGTAATAAAACACTTCTGCAAAATAAGTTGGGAATTATCATCGACTTAAAAATACGTTGGATACCATGTTGCTCTGCTTCCTGTGAAGGTGACACTAAGTATGTGTTAAAAAGCTCAATTTCACAAGGCAAGACTCTTGATTGAAAATGATAATACCAGTAGTGTGTAAATGTAGAGTTAATCGATATCTGTACATTTTAATTGCTGACATCTAACTTTGGTATCATCATGCCTAATGTTCCATTTGATTGGGTTCGGAGACTACATATCATCTTTCATTTCTTCCTCAAACTGAATTAAGATTAGAGTCAAAACTTTTGTCCATTTGTTGCTTCTTTACCGTCTATGCCCTTAACCTACATGTAGCCCTATTGCATGTCACATCCACTTCTTTAAACACTAAAATCAACATTTTATATGAGTATAAACTTGTACAATCAAACCTTATGGCTAATCCATTTTGTTATTCCCATAGTTGCAGAAGGCATGATATACACACAAAGGCAATATTTACTCAATCTCTGTACTGTGGTGTATTTTACACAAATGTGTATATACACCACCATACAGAGATTGAGTTTATTGTGTATCTTATACGCTAAGGTAGACACACACAAAAGCACAATTGAATTACCATTCATAATGTTGTTTGTCTAGTATTATCTACTCAGTCATGGCGAACTCACACCGATCAAATGGGGGTCAATGTACAAATATTCACTGATATCAACCATTTAGATATTACTGTATATTCCCTTCAAGGCCATATGGGTGGCATATTTCACCGTAATTTCAATGTTGTACAGGACTGTGCAGGTTCATATTCTTTGAACAGAAACAGCTACAAGCATACATGTATAATAATTGTGTCTCTCATAGAACTGGAAGCTATCTTAATACTTGGGGCATGCACCCAATTATACAGACAGGGTTACATGTAAGTGAATCCTGAGAATTGGGAGTCAAATCCAATTGAAATTAAGCCGACATGTACGTCAGAGATGAAAATAAAACGGTCTTCCACGGACATGCATGTATCATGCACTAAACATCATTCAATGATTTATGTAAATCTTTTAATTGTACAGAGGAAGGGGAGAGATACATGTAAAACAAAACACTCTTGGATATGAAACTTACACTAGCACCATAAAAGCATATAGGCTTAGTAATACTTGGGTTCATTTTATTTGTTTGTGAGTGAATGAAAACATCTTCACTGTTCATACATAAACATTTGAAGATTGATCACACAAAACTTCATCTGTCCTGTCTCCAAAATTTCCAACAATAAATAACCTCTAATAGCTTACAACCCAACAGTAAAAGTGAAAGTGAAGCTAGAGCTCTATAGCTATAGTGAAATACATGTATCTATCATAATTCTACAGTGCACACTTGTTTCTACATGCTAGTACATTAATTACCAGTAACATGCAAGTATATGCTGTATTACTTGCATGGCTTGATAATCAGTTCAAGATTTCTCTACAAAACACAGTTCGTGAAAATTGTACTTCATCAAATGCTTATTAAAAACAACATCTGATTTGTGTAAAGAGAGAGTGACATCAACATTTTATTTGTTATACACAAACTTTTGCACCCACAAAATAAATCAAAAAGCAACTTCAATTCCAAATTATCATTTAATTGAGTTATTGAATGTAAGCTTAACACTTAACAGTGTTTTGTACTGTATTCTCTGCTTAAAGAAAGAAGGGCACTATAAAGTCATATTCTCATTGTGAAAGAAATCCTAGGATGTCTTTCTGGATTTGACTTATAAACAATGGGATTTCCTCACTATCATACATTTTTGGGGGTGTTTTGCCATTTATCAATGCTCATGTGGGCCTTCCTGGAGCTAATTAAATCACTCTCCTCTCTTGCATTTTCAAACTTGCTGTTATACACAAATTTAATGTCCTTCTGGGTCTCACCGAAATTGTCTTTCGTTCATTTTGGAATGTAATATTGTTGTCATTTTAGACATGAATGCCTGGCCCTAATGCCTGCAAACAAATAAATAAAAATAAAAATAACAGGTGTAGCCTACTTTATTTTTCTGACTGACTTACTAACTGATGATTTACTTAATACGAATTGATGATTTACTTATTAAATGTTGATGTACTTACTAATTAATGATTTACTTACTAATTGTTTGAGACTGGATCTCATCAATGAAGGATCTGTACTGGAACAGTGTGATGAGATCCTCACACAACTTCAAGCCATCCTTGACATGCCCTGCAAAATGAATGTAATAATCCACTTAATAATCTACAAATCATCTTACTAGTGTGTCATTCAAATCTAAACAATAACACAGCACAGACACTAGTATGTGGTCCTAGTAATTAATCCTATCTTTTGGGGGGATGGTGAAGTTATGTAATAAATATCATGAATTAAAAGAATCCCTGGTGTTCCTTCAAAAATTCATCTCCTTCAGGAGCAGTTCTAGAAGAATTATGTGAGGGGTTGGGGGTTCTTGCGTTCATTTTCTACATGTGCGGCAAAAAAAATGGGAGCAACCTATTCCCTCTAGAACTGCTACCAATCTGTTTCCTATCCCCAACCCCAAAATCTATGGTAATCCTTGAAATTAGGCATCAATAATCTGACAATCATATCTCACAATTTTCCAAAGGACACACTGTGATTACTGACATTATTTATTTTCATTTTTAATTTTTTTCATAAATGAGAAATCTAGGTCACGCTACGAGCTACAGAACATAAAAGAAAATAAAATATGTCCAAATTAACAATGAATTAAAGGCTAACTCCTAAAACATCACATTCGTATACCAGTAGAAGCATTGGCACATTGAAATTTTTTAACGTCATGTCCACATTTTAAAATGAATTATCACAATTCAAAACGATTGATTTCTCTTAGGAGACAAGAATACCGTGATCTCTCCCTACGTTGAAATACGATGTGCTGCTAGATCATGCTAATTAATCAGTGCAGATATAATGATGCTTTATCATCTTCTTATGAATGTGGATATACTAAAATATTTATTTCAAAAAAATAAACGTAGCAAGTATTTACCATTTGTTAACATCTGATCAGTCACTTCCAGCACTTCTTCAATCATGTTGGTAAATGTCTAGAATTACAAGATAACAGGAGAGAAAGAAGAGAATATCAATTGAAGTACATGTACAATATATTGTAATTCCTGAAAGACAGATAACAATCATGACAACATAAATCTTATTTGAAATCAAATGAGCAAGTGATAACTCTCTCTCTATATCTCCTTATCTTCATACAGACATGAACAAAATTATATTCAGTGAATTAAAAGCATAAGTTTTCATTAACCAAATACTTCATGAAATCATAGCAATAGGTAAAACAGGTATTTACTTTTCACCTGTTGCAAACCATAAGTATGCCAAAATTGAACTCTTCAATGATGGCCACTTTCTTTAGTTGAATAAACTGTAATGAAAAGTGTTTCAATCTTTAAAAAAAAGGCATTCAGATAAAATCACAGGCTTTTCATGCTACTGTACATGAAGAAATTGAATTTAATCTTTAATCATTCTCAAAAAAGGTTAAACAATTGTCTGTGCTTACCATATCACTGGAAATGCCTGAAATTTCAAGGATACCATTATTCAAGCAATATGCCTTGAAAGAAACCGAGAAGTAAATCCAAAAGTGGCGCCCCTGCAACAACAAACAATTGGGATAAATTTTAATAATACAAGAGCCCAAACAATTAATACACAATGTGTAAAAATACAAATATAATAAATGAAGGCCAACCGGCCTAAATCAAGTATAATTTTTAGAAGGGTGAAGATGCATGCAATGTTATAAACAAAAACAACAAATCCCACATGAATGAATGATGTAATATATATGCTTAGATCATTAATTGTAATAACAATAATGATGATAGCAATAATAAAATAATAGTAGTAGTAACAACATTAACAACAACAACAACAATAATAATAATAATAATAACTTAATAACAATAATGGTAATAATGTCATAGTAGTAGTAGTAGTATAAGTAGTATTAGTAGTAGTAGCAGTGGTAGAAGTAGTTGTAGTTGTAGTGGTAGTAGTTGTAGTAGCAGTAGTAGTAGTAGCAGTAGTAGTAGTAGTAGCAGAGGCGTCGCTAGAGGGAGGTGAGGGTGCCCCCCCCCCACCCCCACCCACCCACCTATTAGGATATTGTCATTAAAATTACGCTGCCGTTGAGAAAAATGAAAAAAGGGGGAGGGAAAAAAAGAGAGGAAAAGGAAAAAAAGGAAGAAAAAAAGGAGAGGAAAAGAAAGAAAAAAAGAAATGAAAGAAGGAAAGAGAAGAGAAGAAGGAAAGAGAAAAAAGAAAATGAGAAAGAAGAGGAAAAAAAGGAAAAGAAAGAAAATAGGGGAAAAAGATCAAATGAAACAAAAGAAACGGGGGATGAAAGAGAGGAGAGAGAGAGCATGAGAGAGGAGGGGTGGGAGTAAGAGAGAGGGGAGGGGGCAGTTGTTGGGTGGAGTCGTCTCGTCAAGGGAGCAAGAAACAAAAAATGTGCTTGTTGTAGACAGGTGGTCACTAAAGCAGGTTTGACTGTAGTAGTAGCAGTATTTGTAGTACATATAGTAGCAGTAGTAGTGGTAGCAGCAGCAGCAACAGCAGCAGCAGCAGCAGCAGTAGTAGTAGTAGCATGGAGATAATCTCCATGGTAGTAGTAGTAGTAGCACCAGTTGTAGTTGTAGCAGTAGTAGTATCAATAATCTAGAATTTCTAGAACTTGGCGTCTGCATCTAATTTTTAAGTTAACAAATTGTCATTCTATATTTTGTAAAGTTTCATCTTTTTTTTTACCTGTTCAACTATCATCCTCTTGTAAGATTCCTTATGTTTCCTGAAGAATGCTGCATTCTCGTTACACACCTTCTTGCCAAACAGGCTATCCTGGGAGTAATCGATTTGTATCAACCTCATCTTCAAGCCTGCTTGTTGGTCACCCTAACTGAAAAGAAGCTTGTTGTAAGCAGAACTATGCTACCTGAGATACCTCACTTTTCTGAAGAACCTGTTATTTATTAATAGAAAAAAATCACAAGAATACATTTACTGGTACTTTGGTATCACAATAACAAATATAACAGGCATAGAGAGCTAACATTTTTTTCTTTCTCTATCTAAATAATTTTAAGAAAAGAGCAGAGTATTACAGAGACGCCAAGTTCAAAGATCAGCAATGCGTGACATTTTCATGATTCGGCGCGCAAGCGGGCGTGCGAGGGTATAACACACGTATAAATTATAGCGTTTTTACAAAATCTAGCGCGCGCATCGTGCGTGAGAGCGTTTCTAGACCCTCTAAAGGCATGACGTCAAGCCTAATGCGTGACACTTGGTAGCTCTGGTATTAACTGATAAATTCTAGAAATTGTATACATTTATCAGTACGGTAATCAAATAATCAAACAGTCATAGTTACATGTGTATTTCATATCACCACACAAATGAAATCTTTTGCAGATGGTCTTTGATTTTAAAAAGTCAAAGTAATGAACAACAAAAAAAGCCAATATTCTTTTTACATGTCATTGTTATTTAATACATTAAATTGTACACAAAGCTGAAGTAAAGAATCCTCTCTTTTGCAAAGGCAAAGCAATATTGACTTACTCTTGCAAAGATTCTAAACTAGGTGTAGATCGAGTATTCCAAAGAAAGTAAGTACTGCTATGACAATCGGTGCACAAATAGCGAGCTCAATTACGACAAGCGACCTGCAAACCACATTGGCCTACGTGTATAGCAAGGAGACAACAGACAAGTCCACGTATGGTACACAACCAACCCGCGCGTCTCTGAGCTGAGCTGGGCAAATAAGGTACAGGTTAGAGTCAAAAGTTCGGTCATATCTCACTATGCAAACAAACAAAATTACCTCATTATATGCAGATGATTTCATAAACTTACCAGACAGCGTGCTCATTCTCGCATTCAACTCCAGTTATTGCAAAAGCGATGCTGCAAAATCAAGAGAACCGAGAAGTCCGGTCTCTCGCGCTCGGTACGAGGTCAAGGCAAGCGATGACGACAATTTCGGGTATTCCCCTTTTTGTGATGGTAGCGTAGTCTGCGCGATCAGGATTTTTCTGTAATTCATTATCCTTGACCCCCGGGGGAAGTACTCAGATATGGTTTGAACAGGGGTGTGCCGCTGAAGCCTCGAAACCCTTACTCTTATTTTGTGGGATTTTTCTCGAAGTAAATCCCATTTTTCACAATTTTTGCGTGTTTGCAATGCAAACGCCCTGAAATTTTTGAAAAAATGGACCCATGTTTAGGGATATTTTTGTTAAAAATAGGACTCATGTTTAGGATTTTTTTGTAAAAAATTGACCCATTAGAGCGGCACACCCCGTATGTGTAATATATGAGTACCCCCCCCCCCCCCAGGCCTTGAACCAGTTTGAAGATGGCAGATAAAGGCTTTAAGAATGACCCCCCCAAATATCCGACACTTTTAAACATGGAGAGTCCCACTCTGTGCATTTTAGATTAATCAGTGCCAAAGTTTTGAAGGTGTTTAACTACGCGTTGATGCATACATGAATAATTACATAACATTTTTTAACTAGTTAGGTATTCAGCATTCATCTCGATGAGTATTACATTTTGTACAAATAACCTTTAACTGCCAATGCGCAAACAGTGTGCAAAGTTTACAAGAGAACATGATATATTATGAATCCAGAAGAAAACAGAAAAGCTTGCCAAATGTTGGAGTGAAGCAATATCTCATTTCATCACTCGAGAAAAAAAACGTTCTTATATTTATGAAGTGGTCTATTCATTGTGCGCCAATCAAAACAAAAATTACCAAAGTCGGTTGGGAAACAGAACCTAATAAGTAAAAAAAAAAAAAAAAAAAAAAAAAAAGGAGTTAAGCTTTTATAGATCTCAAAATCTCAAAACAAAACATTTTGATGTTGCTTTAAATATATTAAACTCATTTTTTTTTTAAATAATTTTTTTAGATATAACAATTAAGGGAAGCAGGAAAAAACCCTGAAATAAAGGTTTCACCTAAGTCTGCCATCTCTAATTCGTACAAACACCATATCATTTCAAAACAAATACACGTATGAAATCACAAAAATTGCACTAGATTATATTTCTTGTAAAAGTAAATATTTTATTATAGCCAAAAGAATTTACAGTAACTGTACATGACAGTGATCTTTCAAGACTAAACAATTCAATTATTGGACAATTGACATCGCATAACTATACACTGTAGCAATGTCAAACACAGGGACATGGGACATGAGAAATGGAATAAAACTGGTAATATCAAAGAAATATCATCACAATTTCCTGTTACGCATTCCTTACTTGTTCAACTCAAAGTAGGTATTTACGTCATCAACATATCGAGTCAGGTCATGTGAAAATATTCCTATACTACTACATAACATGATAGGTTGTAGGTGATAATCTGCTATAAAGCATGACATTAAGGATGTTTGCTTTCTCCTTCATATAATCAGTCAGTAATAGCTCAGTGCCATCATTTGTGTGTTTTCTTAAGCAGGGTTAAATGATCTTAAAGGGATCCGGTAACTTTGTCTTAGATCCTTTAGAAATAATCCTTGATTTAGCTCGTGCTGCAATGATAATTATAAACCTTTAGGTCAGTCAGGAACTCCATGACTTTAACAAGCCGATCGCCTGTCTGATTATCAAGATATTAATGATTGGAATTACAAATTTTGAAAACCGTTCACCGAACGGTTTTCATAACACTACAGTCTACTGGGGAAAACGAGTATGGTAAAACCAGTCACTCAAAGATTTTTACTTTTTTGAGGCACTTCTTGATCATTTTGAAGCGCGATTTTTTTAGGGCTTCAGTATTACACCATTATCACAGACACTGGTAACATGTAAGACCGTGTATCTCAGATTTAACATTGTTAAACGATCCCTTTAAATCAAAGAATTAATCTGTTGGAGGAGAGGTGGTCCTTCTTTCTATATTTGGGTCAATACAATAAGCCAGTTCACGGTTGCAGTCTGAGCATGAGCAGATAAAGGTCATTGCAGAATAAATTTTGAAATACACGGAGACGAAATACTGAATACGTGCTCATTAAAGTTATGTAACATTATTCATTGATGCACATTTAGTGCACTCAATGGTACACAGGTGGAAGTATTCTTTGAAAAGGGGGAACAAAGGCTATTCATATAGCACCTCCATCGCTGTAGGAGTGATTATTTAAAAATGTACAAAGTGGGACCTCTTCATGTTTTGAAGATCTGTAGATATTCGGGGTCATTGCAGTAAGGTGCCAACCGTGAACTGGTCTATTGATATCACTTTACTTTACCGATACCAAGTATTCAAATATAAAATGCAGACAGCATGAATTAATATCTGTATAATTATTCTGCAAGAATGATTAGCATTCAAATTATGGTATCACTCCAACTGTAGAAGAGTGAATGTCTATATTGTATGTGTACCAAACACCATTACTTCAGCTCTTCCACATTTCAGCAATAGATTAAATCATCGTCTCACAAAATATTTTGTATGTAAGTATGAATGACACTTAAAAAAAAAACTATAATGGAGATCTTATATACTATTTGTTGGAATACAAAGTACATTCATGCATCACATACTGTAAAGGCTTTAATACAATTATTCTCCACTATCTGTATGGCCTGCAGAAAATACCAACCATCCTAAAAAGATCTAAACAAAATGTTAGACATGGTTCTAATTGGTATTTTTGAATTCACAATTATTTTTCATGATAATCTAACAGACACAGTAACAAACAGTGATAGAAACAAAAACTGATCTAGACACTAACAACCGACACATGTGGTTACTTGTTACTCTTCTCTCTTTCTCTCCAGCTTAATTAAACAAGAAAAATGCGACTGCGTCTTCTATATGCCGCCTCCTTAAATTTGGTATAGGAAATGGATGAAATTATTCATGACATAACATGATGAAAACCAAAGTCTATAAATTAAATGTCGACCGACGACTATGATCTTGACCTACTAGCCCCAAAATGTAATTGGATCATCTTCATATAGCTATACTGTCACCATGTTTAGCTATTGCAATAGCAAGGCTAAACACCTATAACTTCATAAGTTGACCTGCTTTAAAGGTCATACACAATGAGATACACATTTCCTGGAAAGTGCTGATAATGACTGGACAAAAAACATTGAACAACAGTTAATGCAAAGTAACATACAATCATACATGTCTTGATAATATACAAATACAAACCACGCCCAAACAATAATGATGAATAAAATTTACATGTACAATGATATAAAGCCTTGCATACAACCTTAATAGCATACAACTCTCAAGGAAGGCAGAGACATTTCAGAAGTAGACCTTGTTTGAATGAAACCCGACCAAAAATATAGAAAGTTATGAATTTTCTGAAATTTGTAATCACTACCGGTATAAGTATCGGAACGTCAAATTGCGGGCTGAATCAGTAATGTCGCTGTGATGTAGTGGCAGGCAACCTTCCTATTTGTTCCAACACAAAACATGACTATCATTGTTTTCGATATGTATGACTTGGGATAGTCTTTTCTTTTTAGATGCCCTGTAATGATACTCTACATAACATATTTTAAGTAGTGGCCCAAGGGTGCATGCAGGCACTTGAGGAAAGAACAGAAATTAGTGATATATTATTACACGACAGTTATTCGTCACTAGGTCACTATTTTGCCAATTTGAGATTTGCATAGCTGTAGTGATCTCATATATCAAACATTCATAAATTTCTTATTATTGGTCTAATTTATTTATTTTATTTTATTTTTCCGCTTTCATTCAAATTATCTTCTAACATTGGTTGGATGGCCTTTCAATATTATTTTGTCTAATTTATGTGGTATGTAAATCAAAGCAATATTACATGTAGACAGATTTCTTGAAAATCTTTACTTAAGGATTCTTTGTATTGTACTGGTAATGAAGCAGTAAGGCACATTATGGTTATGAAAATTACATCTAATCCTTCCTTTTTTAACACACATATGAGTATTGACACAATTACAATAATTACTCTGATTTCTTACAAGTACTAGACTACTTACAAAAAAAATCCAACATATTAATACCTGATTTACCAATACATTTCCATAACAACAACAAAAAAGAGGAAGACTTATTAACAAAACAAAGTATACCATACATACCTAATACATACAGTGATTTACACCTATCTCAAAGGCAGTATGAATTGTCACGTTCTCTTTAATATAGAAGGATGTAAACCTTTATAACCTGATGTTTTTTTGCAAACTCTGGGTCAGAATTATTTGGTAACATGGCATGATGAAGCTACAGAACAAACAAAGAGATCTAACACTGAAGAATGACTATGTCACACAATGTCATGATAATTACAAACTTTGAATTACATTGAAGTGAACAACATTGACAAACGTAGATAAATATCTTAAATTTCCAAACATAATGAACTGAAGTTCACACAATTTTAAGTGATACAAATATAACTGTCTACACCAATAAGCAGCACTAATTTTTGCAAATATAATATTTCAATATTGGCAGTATTAAGCATGAGACGTATTGGTTTGGCTATACTCTTAGCACCAACTGACAAAAGGTTTATGAAACCACAAGACCAATACATTTTGCCTTCAGTACCTTCACAGGCTTTCTACTCTTCTTAGGATTCATTAGATCAAAGATCTGTTACAGCTAAAGTGAAAGATGAACTGGAACAAGACCAAATAAATGTGCTGGCAGTTTCATACTTACTAACCATGATAAGTTCCCAAAGTATAATAAATCGATTCAAGGAATGACTGGTATTTTATTCTCAACTGCACCCTGAGTCCATAAAGGACTTGGTTCAAATCCTTTATTATAGGGGATACATGACAAAAAGATCTCGCACCAACACTTGAGGAATTCCTTGTGAACCCTTTGACACTTCTTTCAAAAACACTCTCCTCTCCTGGACGCCAACCTGTACCTTCTGAAGACAGAGGTCAATGGAATGCGTAAAATCCGTATGCACAATCCAGCGGTACCGATCATACATCTCTACAAGGATGTCAAACGCTGCTGGCTGTGTCCTCTGCATGACGGTGTGTCCAGTGATGCCCTGACCAGGATGGCTCATGGCCATGTTCTGGATTCCACCAAAGAGGTGTCTGAGCTTTGGGTTGAGGATGACATCCTGGAGAGTCTGTCCAGGTGCTGCAGAGATCACTTGGATACCTCTCTCTCTGGTTGCATGGACCACCGCAGCATCCGCTTCAGTCACGACCTCGTCAATGACAAGGGTGTGAGGACTGTGGTTGCGCACTACTTCTCGTATCATGTTCGGCTGTGAATCACGGTCAGGAAGCTGTACAAAGCACACAAGTATGATCAGTGTTGTCAGAACTCTATATAGTCTCAATGAAATGAACTGTATACTGCTTCATTAAGGTACATATCATACAAACTGGCAAAAAGGGCTTTTCAGTTAACTGTTTTTAAGTACCTTCAATTCTTGACAATATAACTGAAGCACACCAGGGTTTACAGAACTAACTTCAGCAACAAGAAAAATCAGGTAAATATAATCTAGACAGGGCTTTGATGGAATAATGTGATATGAAATACTACTCCTTCAATCTAGTACACACAAGACTCTAGTACCCTAAAGGCGATGCATTTTTACCAGCATACCTGAACACGCCTTGCTCCTCCTACAGCAGGGTGTGGTACGTCCCCATCACCAGCAATCTGCACAACAACAAAAACATTATTAGCTCCCTCATTCTGTATCACGATCACCTCAGTATGTAATTACAATTTACTTAAATAAATGAAAAGGAATATATGCAAATGCAAACTTATCAATAGCTATGCAGACTATAGGATATTCTGATCACCTGTGATATCAATTTCATCCACAATCAATTGTAAACATTCACTACTACAAAACAAAAGTTATCTTCAATTTTACATGCTTTATGATGCTCTTACTTCAAGAGTTGCAATGAGAGTTTTATTTTTTATTCTAAAATAAAATCACTATTTACTTCAAATATTTATAGAAGACTGAGAAAAAAAGGTGTTGCAAAGTGACAAAGAGAGACTAAAAGTCATATAAAGGAGAACAAAACTGAAAGGGGAAAGTGGGAAATGAAATGGAGAAAAGGATAGAAAAACAACATTGAAACAGAAAAATACACATGTCTTGTTATTCTAAATGACCCATTAAAGCAGTACGCACCTCATTGCATGTATCAACGATGACCACACGCCTCATCACAACATCATTTATCACCCTGGCTGCTTCCCTCAATATGGTACTCTTTCCAACACCAGGACTCCCTACAAAGAGAATGGACTGTCCCTGGTTCATGAGGTCAAAGAGAGGGGTCGCACATCCTAGGACCGCATGCTTAGTGAGAGTTGTGAGACCTATTGGTTCATTTTGACGATTGCACATAATCCTGGAAGGTAAAAAGATAAAATAATAAGGATATTACTATGCAAAGATGCTTCTTACGAAAATTGTATGATACTACTGGATCCTCACACTTCTGGACCAATTAAAGTAAGGGGGTGTATTTCACATAACATTGTTTTAAATTGGTGTTCATTTATTTGGTGTTCATTTATGTCCTTTATTAAACTGCAAACATCTCATCGAATTTACGTAATCCTTCTTCGTACCTATCACATATTATGCATTTTATAGCACACCCCATGTTTGGTAAAATGGGTACCTGGTAGGAACTGATTCCTTGAGAATACTTTTCAGCTCTTTATGATAGCAGGGCTAAAGCTATAATAATAATAATAATAATAATATATTACATTTATATAGCGCTTAATACAAAGTTTCTAAGCGCTTAACAAAAATAAAATATGGTAATAATAGTTAATAAATTTGGAAGTGGCTTGAGCATCTCCAACCATCTGTGGGAAAAATATATACACAACATTAATGTGGATGTTATCACTATTATCAATCAAGTTACACATATAATATACTTACCCCACTCTATGAAGTGTTCCTTTGATAGTAGACCTATGATCACTTGATACCGGTGAACAATGTCCTTCCAGAATGTCTTTGAGATCTTGCTTCGTGAGTTTATTGTCACCAATGTTCTTGATTTTCAGCTGACCAGGGTGTCCTGGTTGGTAATACCTGTGTGCATCATAAAACCCCACAAGATTTTAGAAGCATATTTGAATAAATGTAAAATAATAAACTACAAATAGAATGAATGTCCAATCATGTCACCTCTACATGAAACCCTAATAAATAATGTGTGGTGAAATATGTTCAAGATTTTTAATCATACCAATCTTTAACTTTTAAGAGAAAAATAGAGTGGCAATAAGTGTTGAATAATTTCATTGTCATGTTCTATGATGAAGAATAAGATATCTTCTTAAGGCTCAAAAAGCATTTATATCACTTGTTACTATTTGTATTTGTACCTATGCTTCTCTGAATACCACACATCCTAATGTCAATTGTGATCTGTCACATATTTCATTTGATCAATGTTCCTATATACACATATTCCATTTTTTTTTTATAAAGAAGAAAAGAAAAAGAAAAGGGGAAAAATGATGTATTTGTATGACATAGCATATGCCAGTACTGTAAATTATGATGAACAGAAATGTCTGTCCTCATCAAGCATGAGTCTTGATAAAAGTGCAACAACAACAAAATACCTTGCACTTGGCTTTCTTCCCAAATCCATGACCACCTCTGTGAGTTGATCCAGTGCAAGGGATTTATCCGTCTCCGAAAGCTTCTTCAGGTTATACTTGATGCAGATACCAAAGGCCTCAAGGAACTTCTCCTGGTCATGCATAACAATCTCTCCAAATTCCTTGGATAGTTCATGACTGATCTGACATGGATTGATGGCTTCGTTGGCAAGCTGAAAAGATATTAAATGAATCATGAAAACAACTTTTTATCAATTACTTCTTTTTCTCAAAGTCACTATACAAGCCCAGTCCAGTGCAGGACACAAGACTTGGCCTTGGCATCAAACCCTTTTAGGTCTTTGGGAGGACATGGTTCTGTTAGGAGGGGGCATACAGACCAAGAGGTGTTTCATTGCCTGTTCCTCCACACAGTTGAACACAGTTCCTCCATCTATACTATATCCCCATTTATGCTCGAGGACTATGCATCTTCCTGTTCGAGTCTGAAGGAGATTTAGACAGGACCAGGTGGGCCATACCTCACTTGAACCTGATGGTAGAGATTCCCTGGGTCGAAAGGAAAGCGTGTGTGGCATTCTTGGTCATCCTCTGAATGTAGACGGAGCCATCAAAGAGTTCAATTACTCTCATCTAATAAATCATTGATGACATTTGTCCCATTTTATAAAAATGTTACTAAATATCAGATATAATCTATTCAATATTTTTCAACTAAAGTACGACCGTGATGCCAATTATGAATGACAGCCATTTCGAAAGCAAGAAACTTTCCCAAATTGCAAAAAATGAGCATTGAATCAATTGTGTTACAATTAGTCCATTGCCTTGAAACTTTTGCAAATTTTAGTCAATCTTGAAATTCAAGAACATTTCATGCATGCAAAGTTTCTAGTTTTACAGTACATACCTCATTAGCACAAGTGATTAGAATTGGCTTTCCTGCATCATCATAGTGGAGTACTTTGGCATTGACCATGCAAGACAACTGTTCAGATGTCCCGTCTTCATAAGCCATCGGAGAGGGAGTACTTCCTGATCCTTCTGTGACTTGTCGAGAGGATTCCTCTTGTTTCTTGGTTGTCTGCATCTTCTTGGATCTACGGGATGTGGTCCTGGATCTGCTAGACGGAGATGTGGTCCTGGATCTGCTAGACCCGGATGTGGTCCTGGATCTGCTAGGCCTGGATCTATTGTCCCTGTTGAGAAAGTTAGAATCCACCTCGGGTCCTGAAAGCAGATCACTCTGAAGGTTCTCCTACGAACAATAAAATGGTAAGAGAACAATCAGTGTTTTAAGACAAACCTTCACTGGATAGAAGTGGATTTTAACACAAGGATTGTTACTACTAACCATTAAAACAGGTTATAAGAATGCTTTCTCACATCATCAAACATGGATAATTTTCTAGAGATAATGTTGTATCCGTCTAAATTGATGGAAAAATGTAGTACATCCCAGTATAAAAGTTTGATTCTACCAATGAAATATCAATATAGTTCTCATAGGCCACGGTGATTTCCTTTCAGCTTGCTTATAACTTTAATCTGAACTATAAGCATAGGACAGATTGGGGGTAGATTTTGAATTGATCATGATCATTTACAGAATACAGGATATTCTTCTCTCTGAAAATATATTTTTAAAATGTAGTTTTCATTTAAAAAACAGGAAATAAATATTTAATTAAATTCAAGCATTCATTGATCATAATCATTTACAGAATACAGGATATTCTTCTCTCTGAAAATACATTTTAAAATTGTAGGTTTCATTTCAAAAGAGGACACAAATATTTTATCAAATTCAAGGATTCGAGTTACCTCGGTATAAAAAAGGTCATTGCTGGATTGGGCTAGACCCTTGCTGTCGGGTTCATCTAAATCACCAGAGGTTGAGGACACTCTATGGACAGAGACAGGCATCTCAGAAGTGGCCTTTACTTTTGTTGATGATGTAACAGGAACATGCACCTGTGAACCCATTTCAGAGGATGACACAACAGGAGCAGAATTCTTAGAAGCGTTTGGCGATGCTGACGATGTGACAGAACTGGTTATGGATGATGTGATAGCACTACAAGATGGTTCTTCATTCTGGCTGGATGGGAAAGGCTGGTCTTCAACTTCATCATCATATAGTTTGCTTACCTTGGTGATCTGGTATGGTTTCATCAGTCTGTGAGAAATAGGAATTGTAAAACAATTGGATAGCTTGTTAACAGCTCTTGATTGCTTCCATTTCAAGTTCAAAAGGAAGAGTGATTCTTCGCTCTTCATAATGTAAAATAATTAAAAAAAAAATTCCCAGGAAAGCCTCATCAGCACCAATGCTGTTATTCCTAAGGGGCCTTCAAATATCATTACCCCAGCAACTGCCAGGTACCCATTCACACCAGGGTGGAGAGTGGCAAATGTGGATTAATGTCTTGTCAAAAGATGTTAGTGCCGGGCATGATCAGTTTAAGGGACAGGACATAAGACAGTAAATGGGCATTGCTAAAATGGCCTTCAGCTTTATCACTTTGGCATTGTAGCAAGTGAGTAGATGCCTGGGCATGCACATTCTAAAAGCCTCTAAATGAAAAGTAAAAATCTACTTTGTAGAGCGGAAATAAAGTGGTGACAACTTGTATTAAATTGTTTCACATGCAATCTCAATACCAATTTATTCCCTTCATAATTGTTTAAACACTTTCCAGTCTAATCTGCACATAATAAATCCTTAATCATGTGTCAGTACTTACCTTAACATCTTTTGATAGAGATATGGGACCTGCTTCATGGTCCACCTTGCCGTTTCCTTGAGCTTGAGAATCGCTTCCTTACTGTACACCTCACCATAGACAGGAGCCTGGATAGTTCCTATACAAACCTCTACGGTATGACAGGGATCAATGCCAAAGAAATTCAGGGATTCAGGCAGAGCCTGAGAGAACTTGGACCCGGGCCTGATGAGCCTTTCTGCCACCTGCAACATAATAACAATAATTATTTATAAAAATAAATTTTAAAAATGGCTTTGGATTCCATTATTAAAGTGATCCTGAGTAAATGGTGTCTGGCATTTAAATCAAATATACACATGTATTAGGATCATCAATTAATACACCTCTCATTTTATTGCTGGTTAAACTTAAAATTCAAGATCTTCTAATAACGAATACTACAATCTACATTACGGTATTATAATCTTTCAGTCAGAATCGAGTTAAAGACATCAGTATTTAATCATCAACCAACACCATGTAACCTTTACATCAGATTTCTAGATTTTATATCAACTTACCATCAAGTCAAACACTTTGACCATCTGCATTCCAAGTGCATCACTTATCTCAAAACAATGCTTCCAATCGAAAACAACCTGCAGTTAAAAATGGGATGGATTAGAATTTATACATAAAAGAGGGAGAAAAATAAATTTGGGTGATGAAATTAAATATTGTAAATTCTCCAACTTAAAACGGTACTGCAGTGCTTGTAGCTACTCGCGCCCTCTTTACAACAAACAATGCCTAAGCGGTACCCTTTGGTCCCCCATAGTCCCCTTTTTCTTATGTTAATTGAGAGCCGTGATTTGATGAGATAACCACCAGTCAGTGACCATGGAGGGAGGTCTAATCCCTCCTGGCCAAACTAGTGCAGATAGGCTTTAAGATGTGCATATTCAGGCTATATAGTAGAGTCTACTATGAACTATATAATAAGCTGTGATTCGGCTCTTTCTGTTAGTTATGCTTCTTTTAGGTTTTCTATTCTTTGGTTGATCAAGACATGAAGTTACATGGTAGACAAAAAACGACATTGACCATACATGTATTTCCCAATAGTCCATACCTCTTTCATGATTGCAATATCTTTAAAATTGGCAGTGACACATTGATAAATTTGCGCCCTTCCCATGAAATGTAATATCTTTCTGGCCATAAGAGTCGTCAAAGTGGATACTTCTTGAATCTCTAACTCAAATAAATGTAGCATGTCAAGTGGCAACCAAGGGGAGTAATAGTTTGCCCACAAAAAAGTACAAAAATTCACTCAAAATTACTAAATATACTATATAAACATGAACATTTGTTTCTACATTTACTAATAATACATAGTTGTTCAAAGTGAAAATATTGGTAAGCACCTTCAGGATCGATTTACTGGTCAAGAAATCCAATGCGATCCTTTCAGATGGTCCAAGTATCTGCTGTTGATCACAAGATGAGGGGGTCAAGCAGGTAGCGAAGGTAGGTCCATCCCAGAGACTGGCAATCAACCAACCATCAGATAATGATACAGATAGTATCGGATAGGTCGCCTTGCTTAGAAACTCCTTGATCAATTTACCAAAATAGTTCAAGTCCTGCAGTGTATGAGATGAGACAGTAGATATCATAAAAATCCACCAAAAAAAAAAATAATAATAAAAAAAATCGATCAGAGAATACATGTTTATTTACATTAGTCATTCATTATAGTAAATTATGGAGATATTCAAATGGCTGATGTGAATGAATACACTGCTTTTTATATCATTCAATATAGAGACCAAACTTGTTTAACTTGCATTTTATTTTGTAAGGACATTAAACTGAAAACTGTAAACTGAAAAGGTTGGGCTGAACTTGCAACAGTGTTAAAAGTAGCAATGTTTGATCTGCATTGAACAAACATTAGCACAAATGATCAAGTTTAGAAGTGGATTTAGCAGATTTCACAGCATAACAACTCACCTGAAGAATAGTGACTATTTCTTGGTCTGTTGATTCTGAAAGTACAGTATCTGGGTCCAGGTTTCCTGCCTCGCTACTTGTTCCAGAATGAAGAGACTCTGAGTCTGAGATGATCTCACTTCCAAGAGATTCAACTTCGTCTTGCCCTAGTGATGGAGTCTGATCCGAGCTACATGCATGTACATCATTATCTGTATCGGGTGAAGTGGTGTCAGCAGGAGCATCAGAGTTTGGGAAGTCTTCATCATGTTCAGTGTCCTGAATGGAGCTACATACATCAGCATCTGCAGAAACTGTGTCGTGATGAGAAGGGTCAGAGTTAGCGAAGTCTTCATCATGTTCAGTGTTCTGAACGGAGCTACATACATCATCATCAGTGCTTGGTGAATCTGTGTCTTGATCAGCAGTGTCATAGTTTGACAAGTCTTCATCGTGTTCATTGTTCTGAAGGGAGCTACATACATCATCATCAGTGCATGGTGAACGTGTGTCTTGATCAGGGGTGACAGAGTTTGCCAAGTCTTCATCATGTTCAGAGTTCTGAATGGAGCTACCGGTACATGCATTATCATCTGCATGAGGTGAAGCTGTGTTGTGATGAGAAGGGTCAGAGCTTGACAAGTCTTCATCATGTTCAGTCTTCTGAACAGAGCTACATACACCATCAGGTGAAGCTGTGCCTTGAATAGAAGGGTCAGAGTTTGTGAAGTCTTCAGAATGTTCAGTATTTTGAACAGAGCTACAGACATCATTATCGGTGTGCGATGAACCTGTTCCTTGATCAAGAGGGTCAGAGTTTGCCAAGTCTTCAGGATCTCCAGTGATCTGAATGGAGCTACATACATCATCATCATCAATGCATGTTGAACCTGTGTCTTGATCAGGAGTGACAGAGTTTGACAAGTCTTCATCATGTTCAGTGTTCTGAACGGAGCTACATACACCATCATCAGTGCTTGGTGAACCTGTGTCTTGATCAGGAGTGACAGAGTTTGCCAAGTCTTCATCATGTTCAGATTTCTGAATGGAGCTACCGGTAGATGCATTATCATCTGCATGAGGTGAAGCTGTGTTGTGATGAGAAGGGTCAGAGATAGCGAAGTCTTCACCATGTTCAGTGTTCTGAACGGAGCTACATCTACCATCATCATCATTGCATGTGGAACCTGTGTCTTGATCAGGAGTAACAGAGCTTGACAAGTCTTCATCATGTTCAGTCTTCTGAACAGAGCTACATACACCATCAGGTGAAGCTGTGCCTTGAATAGAAGGGTCAGAGTTTGTGAAGTCTTCAGAATGTTCAGTATTTTGAACAGAGCTACAGACATCATTATCGGTGTGCGATGAACCTGTTCCTTGATCAAGAGGGTCAGAGTTTGCCAAGTCTTCAGGATCTCCAGTGTTCTGAATGGAGCTACATACATCATCATCATCAATGCATGTGGAACCTGTGTCTTGATCAGGAGTGACAGAGTTTGACAAGTCTTCATCATGTTCAGTGTTCTGAACGGAGCTACATACATCATCATCAGTGCATGGTGAACGTGTGTCTTGATCAGAAGTGTCAGAATGTACAGAGTCTTCAAGACATTTAGTGTTTTGAACCGTGCTACATACATCATTATCTGTATGGGATGAACCTGTGTCCCGGTAAGGAGTGTCAGAGTTAGCCAATTCTTCAGGGAGTTCAGTGTTCTGAATGGAGCTTTGTGCCTCATTTTCTGTATGGAGTGAACCTGTGTCATGATCAAGATAGCCAGAGTTTGTCGAGCCTTCAGGATGTTCAGTGTTCTGAATGGAGCTACATACATCATTATCTGTACAGTGTGAACCTTCGTCACGATTGGGAGGGTCAGAGTTTGCTGAGCATTCAGATTGTTCAGTATACTGAACAGAGCTACAGACATCATTATCGGTTTGCGATGAACCCGTTTCTTGATCAAGAGGGTAGGAGTTTGCAGAGTCCTCAAAGGATTCTGTGTACTGATCTGATGAACACTCACTACTACTTATCTCCTGATCGATCTTGGTAATTGGAAGATTCTGCATTTTTATGTTCATAACATCCAGAAGGACGGCATCATCTGACACGACAAAAACTGTGCCATGTCCGATGATAAAGTGGCCTGGATAGGCAGCAATGGTTTCTCTGAGCTTCTGGCTAGTGTTTCCTACTGCTGCTTGCTCACAAGGACCCAGCGTCTTATTAACAACTCTTAAAAGTTGGCTCATTAAAGTGCCATTCCCAGCATTTTCGCCTCTGATGAAGTCTTTGATCTTGGAGACAGCACTTACAAAAGGATTGTCCTGTACTTGAGATGTTCCTTGGGCAACGACTAGCATGTGAGGTGGTATTAGAAGGAAATCATCACGTAGTGACTGCAGAGCAAAAGAGAATGTTTCCATGCCTTCTCCCATTGCGAGTATCTCTGCTCTACTTAGCAGCTGTGGGGTCAAATGGAACAGTTCATTCTTGAGAAGAGCACCTTTATTGTACAGGTGATCTTTGAGTTTATGTTGAGCTGACTGCATATGGCAAAGAATCAATGAGTATGTGATTTGGGGGTTGTCTTTCAAGAACACTTTACCATCTTCAACTTGGAAAGCTTCGGGGAAACTCTCCAGCGTTTTCTCAAATTTACTCTGATTCATGCCCACTTTCTGCATGGCAAGTGGAGCAGATGACGATTTACATGATTTCCACACATCCTCTAAAGAACTATTTCCAATTTCTGAAAGACAGGCAACGACGTCTTGCAAACCTTCCAGCAAGAAATACTGATGCATCTTCACTTTCGCTTCACAGACTCGTTGCTTCTGCTCACAAATCCTAACAGAAACCCTATCCTCGCCTGAAAATTCAAGAATCGTTGTGATCTCCCAGAACATGTTCCTCTGAGGAAGGCCCAGTGATTTTTGAATTTCTTGCATGATATGGCCCAACTTTCCAGTCCTGTCTTTCTGCAGAACATCCTGCATTTGTTTGATACTGTCAATGTAACAACTGGAAAGAGATACTGTCTGCTTGTGCACCTTGAGAGTTGGAGGAGGATTTCCCATTATGGCCTTCTTTACAAGATCCCTGGTCTCCTCAGTAATGGATAAAGTTTGCAAGAAGGAATCCATTTCTTCACTGGAACACCTGAATGTCTCCTTGGTGCGTAGGAAATCTTCAAAGGCTGACAGGCAGTCTGCGAAATCCATGGTGGGTGATGGAAGTCCTACGAACTTCACTTGATACTTTTCAGCTTACACATCAGATCTGTGAATCAAATGAATATTGCATAATTATAACATTAATATCATGATATGAACTTTGTTAGCATGCCTTATGTTCATTTTTGCGTTTCGACTGTTTCCATAAATAAATACACAGCATCATATTTAGCAAGCTAAACAGCTCATCACTTTTGCCAGCCAAAATATAATGTAACTTCTTCAATGTCCTCCTATTGTTCCACTTGCACCAAATATGTACAAAGCCTATACAGTCTACATAATCGTAGATAGACTCGATATAGACTTGAAATCCTTGGTTCACAAAAAAGTTTAATGTAAGGTATAAACATCTGATAAGAATACCAAATCAAGACTTCTGCCCCTAATTCCTAGGCTTAAAGAGTGGTGAAGTGTGACGTCATCAAAAAAAAAAAATCAATTTTTAGAATTTCTCAATTTTTTCTTTATTTTCCGAAAGAGCATCAAAAATAATGTCCAAATGTTGAAAACTATGTCAAGTATTGGCTGAGATATGACCATCTGAATAAATGGGAACTCAGTGTTATATGCTCTGGCTCCTAACCACTAGGAGCCAGAGCATATAACATTGAGTTCCCATAGGACATATATTTATTCAGATGGTCATATCTCAGCCAATACTTAACATATTCGATTTTCGACATTTGGACATTATTTTTGACGCTCTATCGGAAAATGAAGAAAAAATTGAGAAATTCTAAAAATTGATTTTAATGACGTCACAGCTTCGGTACTCTATAGATCTAGTCTTTCATGCCATGTGTATAACCAGATCAAAGACGGACGACATCGTCTTGGAGGTAGCCAAGAAAATCAATGTTGATATGCAACATGCTGAAATAGACATCAGTCATCGAGTTGGGATTCGCGATTCTAACGCGAAAAGGGGAGAGCGACCAATCATTGTGAAATTGACATCACACCGTAAACGCCAGGAACTTCTGAGAAATCGACGAAAACTGATATCGACAGGTATCACCATACAAGAGGGTCTTACCGCAAGGAGTCGCGCTCTACTTCAAGAAGCATACAAAAAATACAAGGAACAGCGGGTTTCTGCGGCATGGTCTTCGGAGGGAAGGATATTTGTCGCGGTACCAACAACAAACGGGAGCAAAGCTGCCAAGAAGCTGATCACCTGTCGTGAAGACCTCAGGGCTCTGTGATTCCTAATTTCAGCATACATGCTGTAAGTACTGCTGTGAAGAAATTATACCGTATGGAACATTGTGGACGGAAATAAATAATTACGTCAAGTTGTGAAAACTTTTAAAACTTCCAGATGGGTCGATTTTTGGATTTGATATTTTTTATTCATCTCTTGTATTTTAGAATTTGTTTTTTGTTTTTTCATAAGTTGTGTTCGTACTTGTACTTGTCATTATGTCATCTCAACTACCTATTTTTAATTTTTGATTTGAAAGACTTACTAGAATCATGCAATGATAGTGCCATTGATAACTTCGGCACAGACCTAATAAACAATATAATAGACAAAGAAACAGAGTATTTTTTACCTGATCAACTTAATAACGAAATTTTGTTATTGGATGAAGAATACATATCCTTAATGCATATTAATTGCCGCAGTCTCAACAAAAACTTTGATACTATGTCTGAGTTTCTAGATTTGCTAAAGTGTAAAGTTGATTTAATTCTGCTCAGCGAAACATGGCTTCCGAAAGGTCCAGATTGTCTATTGTCACTTGCTGGCTACGAATATTATGGCAAAGGGCGACTATCCCGTGGAGGTGGTGTTGGAATATTTGCTAAAACCTCATTTCATATTAAGGAGAGAACTGATCTGTCTGTATTTAATGAAAATATTGAATCTTACTTCATTGAGGTAATCCACAGGAATAGTAAAAACTTGATAATTGCAGTAATTTATAGACCTCCTTCTCAAAGCTGTGTTGACTTTATAACAGATCTTAACAATATTCTAGAGAAAGTTGATCGCGAAAATAAAACATGCTACTTTTTAGGCGACTTCAATCTAAACTTATTGGATGTACACTCTGACCAACATCAACTCTTTCTTGGAAATGGTTTTTTCTCACTCTTATGCCCCTCTCATAACAAAGGAAACAAGAATAGTTCAGTCAAGTTCAACTCTTATTGACAATATTTTTGTCAATGACACAAGTCTAGTGTTATAAAGCGGTATTTTACTGGCAGACATTTCAGACCACCTTCCAATTTTTGTATTCAATCGGTCAAAACATAACGAAAGGCTTAAGCGAGATCAATGCAATAAAACTTATTCAAGAGACATGTCTCGCTCAAACTTTGATAAATTTAGGGTTGCCCTGACTGAACATTCTTGGGAATATGTGATGCAAGAAGAGTCATGTGATAGAGCTTATGAAGTATTTCTCAGTAAATTTAATATCATACATAATTCTTGTTTTCCTTTGAAAGAAAAGCGTTGCCGAAAAAGGGAATCGAAACCATGGATTACAAAAGCAATTTTGAAATCATGTAAGAAAAAGATAAAGCTATACAAAAAGTATTTGAAGAACCCTTCTGTGTACAGAAAAAAAGTATACTGACAGTATCGAAATACTTTAACTTCAATTATTCGAAGGTCAAAAGAATCTTACTATGCAAAGCAATTTGAAGAAAGTAATTGCAGCAAACGAACCTGGAATATTATCAACAACATGTTGAATAGGGGAATCAAAAGAAAGAACCAAGACTGTTTTCGTGATGAAAATAATAAGAAACTTACAGATCCTGTTGACATCGCAAACAAATTCAATGAATATTTCATAAGCATTGGGACAATGTTTACAGATATCAGTAATATTGACATGCTGAAGTGTAGGTCTTATATGAATGGTCAATATCAACAGTCAATGTTTCTGAAACCAATAGAAGGTCATGAAATTATAGATATAGTGAAGGCATTGAAAATAGGTAAAAGTCCTGGTCATGATAATATAACTGTTTCTGTCATTAAAGAATCAATCCATCTCATTCTTGCTCCACTTGTACACATTTTTAACCTTTCCCTCTCCACTGGTAAATTCCCTCACAGTATGAAGCTAGCAAGGGTGACTCCAATCTATAAGAAAGGCTCTCTCGATCAGTTTTGTAATTATATAGACCGGTGTCACTCTTGCCCATTTTCTCCAAAATCTTGGAAAGATTATTTTACTCTCGATTATTGTCTTACATTGAGAAACGAGGGATTCTGTCAAATTTTCAATATGGCTTCAGATCTGGTCATTCAACTATATTGGCCTTGACATATTTTTTGGACCAAATACTTACTTCCCTTGATGATAGCAAACATTCACTTTGTTTGTCATTGGATATTTCAAAGGCTTTTGACTCAATTAATCATCAAGCCTTATTATCCAAATTGGAGTACTATGGTTGGAGGGGTCTGCCATTACAGTGGATAAAGGATTATTTAAAGGAAAGAAAACAATATGTTGTTTATGATAATGCAACTTCATTTGAAAAAGAACTTGTATGCGGAGTGCCCCAAGGGTCAATAATCGGGCCACTGTTGTTTATTCTATATATAAACGATTTGCCAAATGTTTCCTCAACTTTGTCATACATTATTTTTGCAGACGATACTAATGTCTCTTTAAGCAAGAAGAAACTAGATACTCTTGTCCATAATATGAATAAAGAAATACAAAAGGTTAATTTTTGGTACAAAGTGAATGGGTTAAGGATAAACATTGAGAAAACAAATTTTATGCATTTTGCACCATTGAATAAACAATATGATAAGAACTTACTTACTCTTAAGTTTGTTGATTCACTAGAGCCCTTAAAGCAAGTGCATAGTGCCCGCTTCTTAGGAGTTAATATTGATGACAAGTTATCATGGTCTTTACATATTAATGATATTGCATTGAAGATCTCGAGAATTACTGGAGTTATGTCAAAACTGAAATTTGTATTACCGTCAAAAGTACTGCTTTTACTATACAATTCATTAATTCTACCCCATTTACAATATGGGAATATGCTATGGATAAATGAATCAAATACCTTGTTAAATAGTTTACATTTGTTGCAAAATCGTGTAATACGCATAGTTGCCAAGTCTCATTATTTGGCCCATACCAACAATATCTTTAAACAATTAAGGGTTTTGACTGTATATGAATTAGGTAGATTACAACTGGGAGAATTTATGTACAGGTCTGAAAAGGGACTATTACCAAACTCTCTTCAAAACTGGTTTAGATGCAACAATGATGTACATTGTTATAACACCCGAAACTCCAAGAATTTGCATAGCATTTATTACAGACCTGCTACTGGCCAAAGAAGTGTAAAGTACCAGGGTTACCTTACATGGTCTGCTTTAGATGACAGTCTCAAACAATCCGCATCATTACAACAATTCAAATTTAAATATAAAAAATACCTCTGCAATTCTAAATACTCATATCAATCTAAAAAAATTATTATTATTATGTTTCAAATCGCAATTATGTTTTCATCAGGTCAATTTAATCTAATTATAAAACCAGACATGTGAAGGGAGAGTCCACCCTGAGGATGAGTTTACTACGCCTTTACTTGGCCACACACATTCTCAGGGTGGACTTCCCCTTCATTGCTACCGGGGCTAGACTCGATAAGCTTCGCTTTTTCTAGCCCCATCTACATTACTCACCTTTTTATGTTTTAATGTTGATGTTTGTTAACTGATGTAGATTTTCATTGTTCTTTTATGCGTATCTGTTTTTCATTTGCTCTATGTGTCAAATGTATAAAATGTATTTTCTTAATTACCTTGTATTAGGGAGGCCAATGCCCGGGCGTAAGGCTTCTACGCCTACGATTTGTGCGCTCGTCGTCCAAGTCAGAAAATTACCAGAAGAAAACAAAAGGAAAAAAAGAAGAAAAAAAATATATATGGAATAAAATATATAACAAATACACAATTGTACACTTCACAACATACCTATAATCACGAATCTGTAACAGTCTTTCACCATTTGTTGACGATCTTGCAGATTTTGACGTATTTCCATCCAATAATTGTTTTAGCAGACGAACTTAGCGCGCACACAACAGCAACGAGAGGGCGCAGAGGTTAGCTCACTAAAAACCTTCTCAATGACTGAAGGTAGAGCCTAAAAATATGGAACCAATTTAATATCAAAGAACTTTTGATAGAGATTAACATATCAGATGTGCACAAATGTCACTTTTAACAACTAGAAAATATAACGAAACTAGATGGAATTCGACTGCGCGCAGTCGAAAATGATGCCTCCGTCATAGAGCAATTTTACAAACCGAAACGGAAGAAATTTTTCAAATTCAAGTTCAATTGTAATCCATTAACATGTTCTCAGAATATCGTGATTACAAGCAATTTCTCATAAACATATATGACCCTTTGATCTTTGACCTCATGACCCTAAAATCTACTCAGTTCATTGGCTCTGCAAGATTTCCTGAGTTAAATAGTAATCCATCTGTCAGTTCTAATGAGAATGCGTCCACAAGCTATTTTTGCATACATAATGAGCCCATGACCTTTGATCTTATGAACCATTCATTGGCTCTGCAAGATACATAAATGATCTAAGTTTGGCAGGAATCCATCAATCTGTTCTAATGATAATACGATCACAAGCTATTTTTTCATACATAATGAGCCGCATGACCTTGACCTTTACCTCATGACCCCAAAATCTAATCAGTTCATCAGCTCTGCAAGTAACATACATGACCTAAGTTTGGCAGGAATCCATCAATCGGTTCTTGAGATAAGGCGATCACGAGCTGTTTTTGCATACACAATGTGCGCCGTGACCTTTGACCTCGTGACCCCAAAATCTAATCAGTTCATTGGCTTTGCAAGATACATACATGACCAAAGTTTGCCAGGAATCCATCAATCGGTTCTTCAGATAACGCGATCACAAGCTGTTTTTGCATACATAATGAGCCCTGTGACCTTTGACCTCGTGACCCCAAAATCTAATCAGTTCATCAGCTCTGCAAGATACATACATGACCAAAGTTTGGCAGGAATCCATCAATCGGTTGTTCAGATAACGCGATCACAAGCTGTTTTTGCATACATAATGAGCCCTGTGACCTTTGACCTTTGACCTCGTGACCCAAAATGTAATCAGATTGTTTTCCTATAGTGATACACACTATCACTAAGTTTGAAGTTTAAATCTCCAGTGGTTCTTGAGATATCATGATAACAATCTCAATGTATGGAATTTCATAAGTTGACCTCTGTGACCCTTGACCTTTGACATACGTGCTCTAAAATCTAATCAGATCGTCTTCCTATGGTGATACATACTATCCTTAAGTTTGAAGTTTAAATCTCAAATGGTTCTTGAGATATCGCGCTAACAAACTCAATACAAGGAATTTCATAAGTTGACCTCTGTGACCTGTGACCTTTGACCTACGTACTCCAAAATCTAATCAGATCTTCTTCCTATGGTGATAAATACTATTCCCGAGTCTTAAGTTTAAATCTTAAATGGTTCTTGAGATATTGTGATAACGGTCAAACGGGACGGACGGACGGACGTACGGACGGACGGACGGACGTACGGACGGACGTACGGACGTACGGACGGACAACCCGAAAACATGATGCCTCCGGCACCACCTTCGGTGGCGGAGGCATAAAAAGATTATATCTTTTTAATTTTTACAAACTGCACATTCGAAGGTAGATAGAGTACGATGTTTTTGTCAATCTTGCGTTGGTTTGAGCCCCATAGCTAGAGCCATCTCAAATTGAGAAGGAAAATTGTGAACAGAGACCTCATTGTTTCAGCCCCAAATAGAAGTCTTGCGACATCATAATATGAATATTTATGAGCTCCGGTCTCATCGCGCGCAAAACAAATTTGACGTAGTCTCACACATAGTACCTTTTTCTCAGCACTAGACACCAGTGTCGTGCAGTAATGTATGAGAAGTGTAAAAAAAGACATTTCAGTAAAAAAAAAAAAGAAGTCTACGTGAGCAGTCTATACTCCAATTGAGAAGTGTAATGAATGCCATGATTTGAGCGTGTGTGTTTTAGTGTATGATATCATCATATGGTTAGTGAGAGAGAGAGAGAGAGAGGGAGAGAAATATCTCCGTAAGTAGTACACGTCTAGTCTATCAATGCGTGCAGTCATATGTTTGATTCCGTATTGTGATCGCTGCATGCAAGTGCAAGTTGGATTTATCGATCGATGATAATGCAGTGTCAGATCTTTACTCATGAGGAAATAGTAATTGGAATACATCGCAAAACTAAGGTAGGCCTATTTATTTATTTCAATTACTTTCTTAATTTACAATGAGTGGCTTTCGAGCTTTCTCTCCATTGACCCTCCATGCCATGGCTAGCATGGCTCGATCGCGGCTTGCATGCAATTACCGTACCTGGCCTGTAGTACTGTGTCGGTGTGTGCGACTAATTCAAGGCTAGCCGGTGATGCATGAATGTACTTTCGTGCGAAGTTTTGAACTTGTTGTCCGGGCAATGACCATGATGACACGCCCATTCCCTCGGGCCTGTCTAATTCTCAACGTAATTGAAATTGATTGTTTCACGGCTCTTACGTAGGGCCAGGCGTAGAAGGAGCCTCATAGGAACTAGCTGGATATCTCCTATTTTATGGAACTTCTGGAGTCGGCAGATGGGTGAGTTTTCTTAGTGAAAGAAAATGCTTTCTTTTAATGTTTGTTTTATTATAAACAAATTAGTAATTAAAAAGTTAGATTTGGATTTTGGGCATTGGCCTCCCTACTTGTATCTTCTGGTTTTTAATGTGGAAAATAAATGAAATGAAATGAAATGAAAGAGCATGGCACGGCAATCTCACAAATGTTTGTACTAGCTAAATTGATAAATATACCCACATATTTCATGTAATCAATTACGATGGCATGCTATGGCCAGGACCATGATGTAGATGGACTATGCGGCTTATGCCTGTACTCTGTAGTCTGTACCCGGCCTGTACATGTCATGTGTACCTTCGGCTTAGCTTCGCGCAGCGCGCATTCGCTTTTCAAAAGTTACATGCAATTGATGCAAGAACTAAGACAGAGTCCATTTAATCTACCCCAACTTGAGATCTAACGTTAGTTAGTCGATCTTTTCAGTGCAAAATGTGTTGGTATACTTACAAGTGATCTCGATGAATTTCACCAACTCACTAAAACAGCTCCAGAGATGACGAAATGTCATTCGGTGCGTGCGTGGGTATTTGGCACGTTCGACGCCAGACAAAATACCACAACGTACATAACAGTAAATGTACCATACGTATTCAAGCTGCGCGCGCCCAAACCAGCCAGAGTCACGGGAAATCCAACATCTGTTTTATTGGGGAATACCCGGGCGAGTCGATTTGTTTTATAGGTATATTTTATTTCAAGAATATATATTTTTGTCATTTATTTTGGACTGAAATTGTTATTTAGTAAAAAAAACTTGTTTTCAGTTTTTAAAATACTTTAATATTACAATTTGGTACCCATTTATTTAAAAGAGATTGATAAAAATAACAATGCTTGAGATAAATATCCCTAATATCACCGTGTTTTTCATAATGGTACGACCACTTCTTCAGATGCAACCTGCGAAAACCAGAGAATCAAAGTTCAACATCATCATCAACATCAACAGTATATATACGGAAGAAAACGTAGTCCTGTTGCTGTTGGTCTTCCGGTCGCTTCTTCTTCTTCAAGCAGGGACTTCAAGTGTAGAAAAGCCTCTGATTAGAGTCTGAAGTTGCCTGAATGTGACATGACATGTAGAATATTACTATATGAGAGGTTCAAGGGAATTCAGATGGAAGTAACAAAGCTACTGTACTCATCGCGATCGCTTTAGAAGCGTGAGTTTCACCAAAAGCTGCAAGTTCTCAACGGGTGCAGGTGTTCCGCTGAGAGTCTGGCTCCACTGATCGCCTACAAATACAGAGATGGAAGTACATCATGAACATACGGTCAGTCCATTTTATTAAAGAATTCCCCATACCAGACGGTTATTTCTAATATATTTCTTGGTTTTTATCTAGTAGTAGTAGTAGTAGTAGTAGGTCTAGCTTGGAATGTATTTAGACCAAATTTTTCGTCTCTTTCGTTCGTTAGCCTCTTATTGGGGTAGGGTCGGCGGTATGTATTATGCTTCCGGCTTCCTGGGAGTAAATAATTTCAATTTGTGAAGAAATTTGTGGCTTACACTTACTACTTACTATAGTAAGGCAGTAAATAACTGAATAAAGATTACATACTCGATCTTCAGATCTTGTAATTAAAAACATGTCCGAAAATGTCTTGGAACCAGCAGGATTTTAACTAGACCGAATTTTCCGTCTCTTTCGTTCGTTAGCCTCTTATTGGGGTAGGGTCGGCCGGCTCTCTCTTTAGAGACGGAAACCGTCTATACACATTCCCTTGATAACGCCACGGCCATTTCAGGTCGTAGCGTTTTGCCCCCAAAATCCCCCAAAATGTCATTTTACCTCGTGCATTTTATATTGTAAATTAGGCCTAGGCTATAATAAATCAGTTCCACTTACCAACTTGACTGAAATAATCAGTTTAATAGTCCCTTTTTAGGAATTTATGGGTCAAAATCGAAATCCATGTTGAAAAAGATTTTCAAAATGGATTTCGATTTTGACCCATAAATTCCTAAAAAGGGACTATTAAACTGATTATTTCAGTCAAGTTGGTAAGTGGAACTGATTTATTATAGCCTAGGCCTAATTTACATGTGGATATGCACGAGGTAAAATGACATTTTGGGGGATTTTGGGGGCAAAACGCTACGACCTGAAATGGCCGTGGCGTTATCAAGGGAATGTGTATAGACGGTTTCCGTCTCTAAAGAGAGAGCCGACCCTACCCCAATAAGAGGCTAACGAACGAAAGAGACGGAAAATTCGGTCTAGATTTTAACTAGACCAAAAGCTTCAGTCTCTCTTTATCGTCGGTTGTTCCACTGAGACTATGTCTGGCTCCACTAGACCTTCGATTGGGAATGTCAACAAATGTCAGTTTTACTAAAGAAATGACCCATATCAGAGGGTTATTTCTGTCTAGATTTTAACCTACTGTAAGACTTAAAATTAGACTCCTTGTATACCTAGATTTGTTGCAATTTAATACTACCGGTATTTGTTTCTCTAGTCTCTTCTCCCTATACACATTCATTTCACATCATTTGATTATCAGTTACATATATTCATTAGTTTACTTCAACTTCTCAACCCAATTTCTTCTTTCATGCATCTCCTCACTGCATACCAGAGTCTTCCATCTCATCTGGTATATGTTCCTTTATTCTCTTCTCATTCAGTATTCATGGTCTTGTGTGAATGCATTTGGCATTTCCACTTCTTACTTTTCCTTGGTTCTCTTTTCCTTTTCCTTTGGAATATTCAGTCTTAACCTATTTCAGAATTAAAGAATCACATACAGGAAATACATGTAAGGATGTAATCAGTGACTATATGGTACATTTACACCTTGATTTCAGGCCGCGGCAGATGGTGTAGAAGAGACGGGTAGTTCCTTCACTTGGGAGAGCCAATTTCTTAGCAGAGTGAACGCACATCAAACTCATCAAGGAATGCCCTCACTAATGGAAGGAGCTACATCAATACCCACAGAGTGTGCAGTGACCATTGTAAAGGTAATAATGCAGCTTGATGATACAGAATATATTATATACTGTACCGGTACCATGATCTGTATATGTTGTATTATTATTATCATGATAATATTAATGATGATGAATATATTAATGATATTGATAATATCAATGCTAGAAAGTAGAAAATGTATTGAGATAATATTTTTTGTTTTGTGTGTGTGTGTGTGTGTTTTATTAAAGCAAACCATAAGAATCATATATTTACACAATTTGATGTATTGAGATAATATTGATAATGAAAGTGCTAATTTCTGTAACATATAACATTTTAGGTGTGCCATTATCTTTAATAGATAATTAGATATAGAAAGGAAAAAAAATACCCCCTATAATGTGTCAGTTTGACTGATTAATGGATGTATTCAGTTATGCATGTAATACTTGTTGCATAAGATATTGTGGTTATTTGGTTTACTGATTCGTATCAATCTTCATGCTTTTATTATTTTCCAGGAGACTGGGGTCTTTGAGAAGCTTCTGATGGAGAAACTGTCAGTTTACATGTGTCCAATCATAGGCATCTCCAGCTTGAATGGATGGCTTCTTGTTCACTTCTGGGAAGGAGATTCCTATGCTGTAGATCTAGGTGCACTCTCACCAGGGTCTAAACAGGGCAAGGCTCATCCTGGAGCTAAGATCGCTGGTGGAACTCCAGATAACATTCACAAGTGGGCCATCATTCACTCTGTCGGAAGGTTGCTCAGTGATGACTCCATTTTGAAGGTGATTACAGTAATTGCTACCTTATCAGAGTGAGGCTTTCTAGACTTGATGAAAAATGATGGAAGTCATGATATGATAGGCTAATGTAAAAACGTTCTTTTGGGCTTTGACTTTGTTTGAGTCCTAGGTTAACTGATAATGAATTGATTTTAATAAACTGATCTTCCATACAAGTAGCCAAAGTGTTTATCATAAATATAAGTAAATTTAGGTAATAAAAAAAGGTACAAAGCCATTCTTATCTATTTTAGATGTGAATTGGTCAAGTCGTCAACTGTCTAGTTTAGCTATGCTGAGTGATCATACGTTACATATATTTGATTATATACCTCACTTAAGAAATCCAGCCATCTGATTGGTTGAAATCGCATTCATAAACTTTAACTATTCCTGTAAAATTCCCGGTAAAATTCCAAACCCATGTAATAGTTTTAAAAAATAGTTCTAAAATCCCAGTAACCATGGTTACCCATAGGTTTACATGTTAAAAAATGGTTTGAGCGATCGCGGATACCGTACGTGTGCGAAGAATTGGTCGGCATTTTTAGTACGGCAATATATCTCGATTCAAACAAGGCAAAAATGGCTGTAGAACTCTCCCAAGATTTCAACTTCTGGATGAGGATCAAATGCGAGACATGCTGACAGCAAGAACACCAAAAAGGGTATGTGAAATCTTCCATAATTTTGTTCAGTAGGCCTAGATCTAGATTCTAGTACGCGACAACCAGATGCTGGTGCTTGTAGTGATTTGTACATCACGGACAGATGCAGATCCTTCCCGTAGAGATTACACACATCCCTATGCATTTCCATTGGCCATTGCGCACTCGATCATGCTAGATTGGTCGATGTTTTAATTACCAGAGATTCAAACTAATATTGCTTGTGATCCTGAAGATGATACTCAATAAGTGAGGTGTCATATGAAAGCGCAGGATTTTCTCCATATTCCCCACAGGGCCGGCCCACCCCCAAAATTGTAAAAATATCTTGCTTAGACTAGAATCTAGATCTAGTCTACTCTCAAAGAAACACTAAAAAAAAACAACCGTGCAGATATACTAGAGAAAGGCCAAGGTGGTGTCATAATTTTGTCGGCATATAAAAGTATTAATGACAGAAAATGACGGGAAGGTTACAATTGGGCTATTGCCCTCGGCACGCCTCGGGCCATAGCACAATTCTAACCTTCCCTTGAGCGTATAACAAACAACTATTTCTCTTAAAGCAGTCATTAATACTATAATAATATCCCCAAACATATTAATGATCAGATCAGATTGACTTGCATGTGTAAACAAAACAAAAATATTTTAAACACACACCTGTATTTTCTTTTTTTATATAGTTTCATTCCTGTGATTTAAAAAAAAGAGATATTACACATTATATACCTCACTTAAGAAATCCAGCCATCTGATTGGTTGAAATTGCATTAATAAACTTTAACTATTCCTGTAAAATTCCCGGTAAAATTCCAAACCCATGTAATAGTTCTAAAAAATAGTTCTAAAATCCCAGACCTTGGTTATCCATAGGTTTACATGTTAAAAAATGGTTTGAGCGATCGAGGATACCGTACGTGTGCGAAGAATTGGTTGGTATTTTCATACAAGACAAGACAATTCCAAACAAGACAAAAATGGCTAAAGAAACTCTCCCAAGATTTCAACTTATGAAATGCAAGACTCGCTGACAGCAAGAACAACAAAAAGGGTACGTGAAATTATCCATAAACATGTTCGTTAAGTTGCTGAAAATGGAGTACCAGCATAGACGTAGACGAAAATAGGTCAGGGTGTCTGATCGCGCATCGATGTTGTGTGCTAAATTCTTCCCATAGAGATTGCACGCAATGCTGTCTCTATGCAGTCTACGTGCATTGCGCGACCATGCAAAAAAGTTTTTTTTTTCAATTCGAGATTCAAACCTTTATCTGTTGTGATCCTGAAGGTGATACTCAATAAGTGAGGTGTCATATGAAAGTGCAGGTTCTTCTCCATATTTCCCACAGTAAAAATTGTAAAAATATCTTGCTTAGACTAGAATCTAGATCTAGTCTACTCTCAAAGATACACTCATAAAAAACAACCGTGCAGATAAACTAGAGAAAGGCCAAGATGGTGTCATTAGTAGACTCTTTTGTTTTCAGCTTATAAAAGTATTAATGACTGCTTTAATATTCGAAAAATAGTTGTTTTTATACACTCTCGGGAAGGTTAACAATTGTGCTATTGCCCTCGGCACGCCTCGGGCAATAGCACAATTCTAACCTTCCCTTAAGCGTATAAAAACAACTATTTCTCTCAAAGCAGTCAATAATACTATACTATTTTTTTCAGTGCAAATAGATACTGATGATTATATCATATGGTTTTGAATATATATGCTTGCTTGAATGAAGTTTCCTTCACCATTCAACAATAAGGGATAGAGCAACGTCGATCTGGCGCTGCTCAGTGGCTGCCGGGTTCACGATCAATTGGGCAAAAAGAATTTCCGTTTTGGTTTAATAAAATTTGGAGTGGACTATTAGGCTATTATTATTATTATTATTATTATTATTATTATTAATTTTTTATTCTTCTGTCATTGCAGGTTGTGTACGATGTCCTTCACGTGTCTCATGATCTAGGAGAGAATGCAGGCTTGAAGATTGTCAGAGTTTTTGATGTCTTGGTAAGTAAAAATTGAGGAAGTGCGATTCCCTCATGTGATACAGCATCTGCCTGTTGAACCAAGTATTGTGGGCTTTGATCCAGCCCAGGTGAATGACAGGAGCTTTCGCTGTGTGTTAACATACCCCTCCCCTGTTTAACAGGTATGCGGTTGATTGCTGGGGATAACATGCAGATGCCGTCCCTCGTTTGAATAGGATGTTAAATGAAGGCTCCATGTGCAGAAAAGCTACCAGATTTGCATGTTAACCCCTTTGACTACTGAATTGTCTAGGCATAATCGATGGACCACTTGGTTGCCGTAGGTAGTGGGTTAAGAATCCACTGCACTATTATTCATGGAAGAGTAATGAGAAGCTTGATGTAGTGGTCAGTCTGCTCATTCCATTCAGATCATCCAGTAGCAGAGGCCAGAGGGTCTTAGTGATTAAGATTTCTTTTTCCCTTCCCATGCAGGCATAGGTGACAGCACGTAAACAATTAATGATTTTGACCACTTGATTGCAGGAAGCAGATCGTATCATACGTGACCACAGCTTCCTCATGCCTCTGGCAGAACTGTTGCAGATCTATGGAATGGTACCAAATAGCTGTGTAGACATCTTAGTTGGCTCCCAGAGAACACCTGTAGTGGACGACCCACTGGATTATTGTGGAAAATCACAAAGACAAGCTATCAACAATCTTAGAGAAATGGCCCAAGTTTCCTCTAAGATGATTCCTTTCCTTTATCAAGCGATGTTAAGGTATGTACAGTGATGGACTTGTATTGTATGTTATACAAACAAAAGCAGCAGTAATTTGTGTAGTTACACAAACAATATAACCTTATACTTGCACTATATTGAGTGTGCTACCTTAATCATTTTATAAATCTTATTTAGCTTTATTGATATGCTTTGTTCACTTCTAAGGAACATTAGCTACGTACACACTGGAAATTAGATAACTTTTGTTTCTTTTCTTATTTCGTTTTAAATAATAACATACCAAGCCTTAGATATCTCAAGCTAGGGTCAATGGGAATCATACGTTATAGCAATATTATATTGTATTTAAGAGATTAATGTAAGTTTTGTGAGGTTGTGTTTGCTTCTAGCCCCTATTTAGTTATTATCTTGGCTATCTTTGAGATCTGAAGAAAAATAATGAAAAAAATGTCATCATTTATCTCCATTCAGATTTTCTTAATTGTATTGAAACAAATTAACAATGTCTCATGATAGTGACTTCATGTCTCTTTTGTGGTTGATTTTGCTAGTATAATGTCAGCTCCAATGCTGGCTGAGCTTAACCAACGCTCCAATGCTTCGGTGCAGAGTCCACAGCAGTTGGACTGTTGGTATAACCCGAGAAGAGGAGACATGGTCTCTGGTCCTGAGAACGTATCCAGTCACCCATCTTCATATGCAGCTGCTCTGGAGGGCATGGCTGCAACAGGAAATGAAAGCACACAACAAGCTCCTTGTTTAGTACAAGCTATTGAGTCTTACACTGAGGAGGCAAAGTATGACAGAACTGAGGTGCAGAAACAAAGGGTCACTCAAAATGAGCTGCACCAAAAGTTTCAGGGTGAAACACAAGAGCAACATCAGCAAGGTGAAGAGATTGAAAGTGTGGAACCATACATTACCAGCCAAAAAGAAAGCCATGGTGCTTTGCATCTTGTAACCAGCAATATCAGAAAGGAGACAACGCAACAACCACACTTTGATTGTAATGCAAAGAAAATGGTTCAAAGCACCTATGCGAATGTTTTGCAAGGCAAGGCAGGATGTCTGACAGAAAATGCAATCACGAAACAAGCTCCACCCCGTTTGACTCGAGATGAAGCTTCTGACATTGAAGAAACATCAGATGAAAGCATTCGTATGCACTCACAAGATTTACCTCCAAAGAAGCAAAAACATCAAGTGCAAAAACATGAACATCATGGAAACTGTGGTTCACATTCACAGTCAAAAGAGCAAGTAAACTATCCTCAAGTTGCCAATGCCCAAGGAGAGAAATTAACTCAGCCTTCAGTAGCGGCCAGTAATGAAAAGAAGAAGCAGCAAGAAAACAGTTTGGATAAGAGTGTAAGGCCAAAGACAAATCAAAGTGCAAGCTCTGTTGGTGCAGTAGCAGCAACAAGTACTCACCAGAAGCAGCAACAACAACCAGAACAGCTTCAAGAATGTATCCGAACTTTATCAGCAAAAAAGAAAAAGAAAAAGAAAAAGAAAAAGAAAAACAATACAGTAGAAAAAGAATCTCCACCCCAACTGAAATCTAACAAATCAGGAGGAAATGTTGAAAAAGAACAAAATCAGATGCTTCCTGAGAAAATGCAGAATGATGTGAAGTCAAAGAAAAGTAGTGTAACTACCTGTGGTCCAACCTGTGGTCCAGCCAATCCTCGAGAACAAACTGGTCCATCTAAAAGTCCCCTCAGTCTTGGGGTTCCTGTTGGGAAAGAAAAGAATCAGCTGAAGGTAAAAGTTCAGAATGATGTAAAACCAAAGGAAAGCAAAGGAATTGGAGCATCTGGTCCAGCAAAGACCAAAGAGCAACCCAAACAATCTAAAAGTCTCCTCAGTTCTAAAGAAAAAGAAAAAGGTAAGATGTCTCAACAGGGTGTGCAGAATGATGCAAAGAGAAAGAACAATAGTGCACCCAAGACCAAGACGAAGGAACAATCCAATTCTTCCAAAAATCCCTGTCCAAAAGATACTGTCAAAAAAGAACAAAACACATTGCCTCAGCAGAAAACGCAGAATGGTGTGAAGCCAAAGAAAAGCAGTGTAACTTCAGACAAAACTTCAGCCAAGACTTCAAAACAGAACAGTTCATCTAAAAGTTGTCCCAGTCCTGGTGCAACCAATAAAAAAGGACAAAATCAGATGCCTCAACCAAAAGTGCAAAATGACAAAAAGGCAGAGAAAAGTAGTGTAACACCAGCCTCTGGTCCAGCCAAAGCTAAAGAACAACCATCCAGACAGGATAAGCATCAGCAAAAACAGCAGGAGAACTCTGAAGTAATGAATGCTGTGAAAGCCGAGTCAAAGAAGAAAACAGAGTCTTCTCAAAAGTTTTCTGACAAGCCAACTTGTGTAGCCAAAACTCAAGAACAGAACAGTTCATCTAAAAGTTGTCCCAGTCCCGGAGCGACCAATAAAAAAGGACAAAATCAAATGCCTCAACCAAAAGTGCAAAATGACAAAAAGTCAGAGAAAAGTAGTGTAACATCAGCCTCTGGTCCAGCCAAAGCTAAAGAACAACCATCCAGACAGGATAAGCATCAGCAAAAACAGCAGGAGAACTCTGAAGTAATTAATGCTGTGAAAGCCGAGTCAAAGAAGAAAACAGAGTCTTCTCAAAAGTTTTCTGACAAGCCAACTTGTGTAGCCAAAACTCAAGAACAGAACAGTTCATCTAAAAGTTGTCCCAGTCCCGGAGCGACCAATAAAAAAGGACAAAATCAGATGCCTCAACCAAAAGTGCAAAATGACAAAAAGGCAGAGATAAGCAGTGAAATAGGAGCATGTGGTCTAGCAAATACAAAAGACCAAGCAAGCTCATCTAAAAATTCTCACACTCCAAGAGAGGTTGTCAAAAAAGAACAAAGTCAGAAATCGCAGAATGATGTGGAGTCCAAGAAACACACTGTTACACCCTCCTCCATTCCAGTCAAAGCTAAAGAACAACCATTTAAACAGGATAAACATCAGCAAAAACAGCAGGAGAACTCTGAAGTAAATGATGCTGTGAATGCCGAGTCAAAGAAGAAGAAGGAGCCTTCTCAAAAGCTTTCTGACAAGCCAGCTCTCAAAACTGAAAAAGAACATATAAAGTCTGAAATGACTCATCATCGGCAAAGACCAACCCTGTTCAAAGACTGTCCTGCTGAGAAAAGGGAATCGGATGCCAGTACCTCAAGCAGTATTAGTTTCACAGAGCAGGAAGGGAGACAAGAACAGAAAGATTTCCCAAAAATGATCAGGTTTTGAGTAACACAGCCACTAAACCAAAAAGTAAACTCAACCAGGAGCAAAATGCTGAAAAGGAAGATGTGTTAGTCCAACTTTTTCAAGATGCAGAAGATATGTTAGAGCAAGTTTTTCAAGATGCAGAAGATTGGGGTGCTGATTTTATGACTAGCTTGGCACATACACCTCAGCAACAACAGCAGCAAAACACCAATGTGCAGCAGCAACACCATCAAACACACCAACAACAACAGCAAAACACCCATGTGCAGCAGCAACACCATCAAACACACCAACAACTGCAGCAAAACACCCATGTGCAGCAGCAACACCAAACACATCACCAACAACAACAGCAAAACACCCATGTGCCGCAGCAACACCATCAAACACACCAACAGCAAAACACCAATGTGCAGCAGCACTACCAAACACACCACCAAAAGCAACAGCAAAACACCAATGTGCAGCAGAAATACCATCAAACACACCAACAACAACACCAACAACAGCAAAACACCAATGTGCAGCAGCACTACCAAACACACCACCAAAAGCAACAGCAAAACACCAATGTGCAGCAGAAATACCATCAAACACAACAACAACAACACCAACAACAGCAAAACACCAATGTGCAGCAGCACTACCAAACACACCACCAAAAGCAACAGCAAAACACCGATGTGCAGCAGCAATACCATCAAACACACCAACAACAACAGCAAAACACCAATGTGCAGCAGCAATACCATCAAACACACCAACAACAGCAACAGCAAAACACCAATGTGCAGCAGCAATACTATCAGACACACCAACAACAACAGCAAAACACCAATGTGCAGCAGCAATACTATCAAATACACCAACAACAACAACAGCAAATCACCAATGTGCCTAACCTAGCTCCAGGAATAATCCCTCAAATCCCTATGGGCTTGATGTTGCAAGCTCAAACTCTCCCTCCTCAACAAGTGACTTTCGTACAGTGGGAGCAACAGCAATGGGTCAAGACTTCTCCTGAAACCAAGCTGTCTGCATCCCCACAGTGGATGAAGCCAATGGTATTACAGTTCAAGGAGGGCAACAACCCAGTCTTCATTCATCCACTCAGTGAGGTAAGATCCACAACAGGTATGGTAGCTTTAGATACAGGTAAAACTTTTGATATCAAAGAGTTAGTTTGTGATAACATTTTCATAAAACTTATCATATAATTTGGCATAGTTGTTTTAATCACAGTCAACACAGAAAGTTCCATCACACACAGATTAGAAATATGAAACTTATCTCAAAGTAACCGAGAATGATTGTTTTGATAAAATCATTCACAAGAACTGTTTTTTTTTTGTAGAATATTTCAACATAGGCTGCAATATTGACAAAACATTGCAGTCATTATAATCTTGTTTTTCTTGGTCTTCACCTTTGGATCTTATGTTTTTGTTTTGTATTTAATCCTCCTAGCAAGCTTCCATTCCAATCAATCCATGCCTCATTACGGATGAGCAAGATGAAGAATTTGATGATCTGCTTCTATCAGATGTGATTAAGTTTGTTGAGGCTTTTCCTGCAAGCATTCAACTGGCTCTACAGCAGCTATCACAAGAAAGCTCCAGCTATTCCTTTATTCAGTTAGCAGAAGTTGTCTTGGATGTTGGCAGGAAACCCAGAGCACGGTGAGTTGTAACTGTAATTTCAGAAATAATTCACAATTCTCACAAATAATTTGATAGGGGGCAGTAGAGCTTATTGGTACATCTGCTTTTCAAACATTATTATCTAAGCTTGGCTTTGATTCCAGCTTGAGCAAATGACATTTGTAAAGCTGAATGCATCATTATGTGTAATCCTGACTTTTTTCTTTTCTGATACCTACTCGTAAGTACTATGATAAAGCACTTCAATCCTCAGAAGGGATGTTTATTTGAAATTACGTGTACGTGAATAACAGCCATACTGTTTTTGGATGTAAACTGAAGTAACTTCAACTCATCTAAATTTTCACAGCTTTATATCCCAGTGTGATTATTCATTAAGGGGAGGCTCAACGTCTGATTATATTTGCATTTACCATCCTAGTTATTTCAGGAATTATTGAGGACATTATTGATAACAGTTATGGAAGCCAAGCACTGAATGGACACATAGGCTGAAGTTTGAATCTAGCAGGCTCTTAGGAAAATTGAAAATGAAATGAGTACATGCTATGTTTCTCCTAGTTCTATAGATCGAATGGTTGAAGTGTGGCTGTTATAAGATACCTTTTGTTGCTTGTAGGTATCTGAAGTCTGGGTTGAGTTCTGAAATGATGGAAAAAGTGCTGAATCGTGATGAGGTGACCAAGCAGGACTTGAAGGGTATCTTGGAAGACAGCGGCTTTGCCAGGACAAGCAACAGTCAAGGCATGGTCACGGATACACTTCACAGACTTGGGTAAATCACCTGGAATAATGTGTTCTTCATTTGTATTTTGTAATACTTTTAGATCCACTTTGTATGGGAGAATTGAAGCTTTTCCACATGTACCACAGTACAATGTAGTGGCTTTTTGTAATCAATGAATTGTAGGTGGGAAAGAAAAAAAAGTAGCTGTATACAACAAAGGTCCTCCCTTATCTATGTGTTATAAATACAAAAATGTGATGTGCAGTACATGTGAGTATTCTTACAAAAACATGGTGAGCCGGTGTGGCTTACCGCATCATATGTGAACAAACCTTTGACGTTATCTAGGGCTTCATGAAGAGGGCCAAGAAAGCCTACATATCGACCACTGCCATCATGTTAGGCAAGTATGAAATGGGCAAAGTGCACTGCATATCCCACCGCTGCCATCATGTTAGGCAAGTGTGAAATGGGCAAAGTGCACTGCATATCCCAAACGCTGCCATCATGTTAGGCAAGTGTGAAATGAGCAAAATGCGCTGCATATCCCAAACGCTGCCATCATGTTAGGCAAGTGTGAAATGGGCAAAGTGCACTGCATATCCCCAACGCTGCCATCATGTTAGGCAAGTATGAAATGAGCAAAATGCGCTGCATATCCCAAACGCTGCCATCATGTTAGGCGAGTATGAAATGGGCAAAGTGCACTGCATATCCCAAACGCTGCCATCATGTTAGGCAAGTATGAAATGGGCAAAGTGCACTGCATATCCCCAACGCTGCCATCATGTTAGGCAAGTATGAAATGAGCAAAATGCGCTGCATATCCCAAACGCTGCCATCATGTTAGGCAAGTGTGAAATGGGCAAAGTGCACTGCATATCCCACCGCTGCCATCATGTTAGGCGAGTATGAAATGGGCAAAGTGCACTGCATATCCCAAACGCTGCCATCATGTTAGGCAAGTATGAAATGGGCAAAGTGCACTGCATATCCCACCGCTGCCATCATGTTAGGCTAGTGTGAAATGGGCAAAGTGCACTGCATATCCCAAACGCTGCCATCATGTTAGGCAAGTATGAAATGGGCAAAGTGCACTGCATATCCCACCGCTGCCATCATGTAAGCCGAGTATGAAATGGGCAAAGTGGACTCTTCTTGAAGGAAATCAGAAAACTAGAAAAACAGATTGGTTCAGGTTTGAACATAAGTGCATGAAGATATTAAAGCGAATGATGAATTTGTAAATATTTTTTATTGCTATATGTATGGACAATTTCAACTTGGCAAATCGCTAATGTCAGTATAATGTAGTGTCATTCAAAGTTCCTGTTTGTTCCAGCACACAAACTGAATCGAATATCATGTTTCAAAATGTAAGACTGATCACATTAACAGGAGCAGACATGTTTCTATTTGAAAATGATATATTGTTGATCGTTTGTTTTTGTGGTACAGCCTGCTGGCAAACATACAAGGAGAGGTCATTGGCATGACAGCCAAGGTTGAACACCCCCTTCCAGGATGCCTCAGCCCATTGTATGATATATTCAACAAGGGCAAGTCCATTCTGGTTGTTGGACCTACAGGGGTGGGCAAGACAACTCTGTTGAGGGAAGCTGCAAGGGTGTTGAGTGATGTGGAGAAGAAGAATGTCATGATCATTGACACATTATCAGAGGTAAGTTCTAGGTTACTTGCAGTGGACAAAGATTGCTTGATGAATAAGATGCTCCTAATGCAAACTTTGTATTATCTAAATTATTGAATTGTTATTTGGGTGTTGCAGGTATTGTATACTTCCATAGCCTGTTTGTAGCAAGTAAGTTGGTCATGAAAGTTCAACAGAAATTTACTTTCAGTCACTTGATTCTATACACGCATGATAACAATATGTTTCCAGAAAAGTCACCATTGTATCTATGATAAATGTATTCATAGTTCAGTTTTATATCAAATAACTTCAACTTCTCCTTTTTTTAATGCACAGATAGCTGGAGAGGGAGACATTCCACATCAATCTATAGGATCTGCTCGAAGATTACAGGTGAGAATCATGCACAATAGTTAAAGGGGCATGTTCCCCGTATTCCAGAGGGCGTTCAAAATACGTACCCGCTGGCGGACGGTGCTAGCTACCTATTGACACCAACAGAATACGACCCTTACGCAGATGGCATGTTCCGAATGCCCGCACAATGCCGATTATGGCATACATGTGCCGAAGTCATACCAATCGCAGTTCAGCTCTAAGATTCGGCTGCTGTTTCCACCCACTTTCGTCACTATCGGCAGCGATCAGCTGGCTTGGCGAAGGCAGGCCAGGCCGTGCGTACTTTGATTGACAGCTGTATGCAAATTTGAAGTCGATCTTTGGAACCAAGATGGCGATGACTAGAGTAGTGATAACTACACTGGCGGGAACATGCCCCTTTAAGCTACAGTCAATTCGCCCATTTGATATCTCTCTGTGACCGGAACTACATACACTTGATAACATTAACAAACAAATTAACAATTAATCTTGATTATATGAGGAGAGACGAATCTTCATCTGAGAATTAAAAATCTTCTGAGTTCATTAAGCATCTATCAGTCTCTTACACTTTGACCTTGGAATCATTTAGAATAGTTATAGAATCTTCACCAGTGATCCTCAGCTTTTGCTATTTGCTCTTGTAATATCTTTGAATGCATTTTTTATATGTAGATCCTGAGCAATGCGGCATTATTGCTTTGAATCATGATTCTTTTGAATAAAGCGACAATCAATCAATAATGGATGTTTCTCAGATGCAACAAACCCTCTTTCTTTATACAATGGCATTACAGGGATTATCAAGGCTCACCAAGTGCTGCATTTAGGAGGGTAACATCACCAACAAGGAATGCCAGGTAGGGCCAAAAGGTGCAGAACCAATAGGATAATAAGTTACTGATACATACACGGAAGAGACAAGGCTAATTCTGTCTTTTATTTGATATTTTGTTTTCTTTTCTGATGCAGGTTATAGAAAGCAATCTCCAGCACAAGGTCATGAGTGAAGTGTACCAGAACCACAGACCTGAGATTGTCATCATTGATGAGATATCCAGTCTGGAGGAAGCAGAGAAGACCCTCGACATGAAGCTACGAGGAATCCAACTCATCGCTGGTGTCCAGGGTAAGACCCTCGCTGATGTCCTCCTGAACACTGCCCTCACACCTATCACTGGTGGCATCAAGGAGAGTGTGGGTTACCCAGGGGGAGTGCCAGGGAGGCTGAGGACCGGTCCTGTTGTGTTTGATGTCCTGGTAGAGATGCTCGACATGGAGCGATGGATCATCCATTGGGACTTTCAGTGGGCCATTGATGCTGTTTTACCAGGTGGAAGGAGAACTCTTGAGGTGGAGGAGAGGAAAGTTGTCAAACTTGGAGGTGATCCTGATGGTGGACTGGGAGGTCAACAGGTCCTTGCAATGCGGATGTCTTCTACTTATAAGATATACACACAGTGAGGTCTTATAAGATATACACACAGTGAGGTCTTATAAGATATACACACAGTGAGGTCTTGTTATACACACAGTGAGGTCTTATAAGATATACACACAGTGAGGTTTTATAAGATATACACACAGTAAGGTCTTATAAGATATACACACAGTAAGGTCTTGTAAGATATACGCACAGTAAGGTCTTATAAGATACACACACAGTAAGGTCTTGTAAGATATACACACACTGAGGTCTTTAAGATATACACACAGTAAGGTTTTGTAAGATTTACTCACAATGAGGCCTTCCAGAAGATATTACATGAAAAGCAGCTGCTTTATTTCATACAGAAGAAATTGCATTACAAACAACTGCTTTATTTATTCCAATCAAGGCCAGCATTGTTAAAATCGCATTTACTGATTTGATAAGTTTTTTTTTTTGTTGCAAAGACTTTGCTCATGTGACCATGTGCATATTGGGCCATCCATATTTATTGAAGAGTATAGATGGATATCTGTCTCTTTTTTTTTTAATTTCATCTTGACTCCAGAGATACATTTTTATGATTTTTAAATAATTTAAATGTAAAAGGAATATGTGTGCTTAAGCCATCTATTCCCCATCATTTAAAAGGATTTTACTCTTGTGGACAAAATTAACCCCTTAACTACTGAATTCTCTCATTCCCATAGGCTTTAATACAGGAACCACCCAGTTCCAGTAGGCTTTGGGTTAATGCTGCTTTTCAGATTATTCATTATTTTAGAGTTTTAATGTGTTTACAAGTCACCTAAAAAGATATTTGTATACGACTAGGCCTAGCAACCTCAAAAACGGTTTACTCAGTATACTATGGACTAACAGATAGTGAGTACGAACAAGTGAAGAATAACTTATATCCCATTCACATAACCTAAGTGAACCTGTAACTATTTATTTGCACCACTTTCAAATGAATTTGGTCAAAAAAGATAGCTCTTGGTGCCTTATATAATTATATTGAATATTTATTGAATAAATATATTGGCAAATGGTTAATTGTCTTTTAAATGCAGAGTCACATTAGTCCCATAATCAGGTCTTTAGTCTACCAATTCTGCAGTTAGATGTGATTCTGATTTTGTTTAATAAAAGGAAAACCTCAGACCAACTTCCTTTGTTCAATCCATATTTTAACAAAACCTTAAACCAAGTGTTGGTTTAAATTTTTAGTTAAATATAGGCCAAAGAGAGTTTTAATGACAGTGCAATTATCCAAATATCTATCATCATTGATTAGAAAAAGAAGTTTCACAAATCTAGATTGCCTATCACTGTAAAATATGATGCTGTGAGTGTGCTTCTCATAAGAGTGGCTGTTCAAATTATTTTGAGCTTTGTAGTTAAATAATGTAACTTTTTTAGAGCTCTTAGTATTACATTTCTGTAATAATGCGATCTATGTGGGTAGATTTGAAATCTAGTGCTATCTTCAATTTGTCCTTTGTATGTGCCAATAATGTAGTTAAACACAAAAACATTGTTGTTTATTGATTGCTGTAAATATTAAATACCTGAAGACAATCATATTACATGTTGATGGACACAGATGGCCTAATGTGTATGTTTAGATTACATGTTGAACACAGTAAATAACCTGCATTTGCAATTGTCTTGGATAAAATTGCTGCATCTATATATATATGAGAGCAATGTATAAATAAATTGCCATGAATGTAAATTGCCTGTTTCATAGATGCCAATCTTCGAGGCCCGAAGTGTTTTGCTTCATGTACAGTTTCATGTTGACATTTTTTTAACTGCTTCTATTTAGTAGTTTATGACAACAAGCTCAAAAGTTATTGTTCATTTGTAAGTAAGTATATTTTGAAACAGATGTTATCAAGAAAAGTTTAGAAATGTTGAAAATATTTTTGGTATAAGTATGTTAGCAAGGAAGAAGAAACTACTGAGAAATTTCTTGCCTTTCTTCCTTACTTTTGCATACAACTGTATTGAAATTATGAGGAAAAATGGTGCAATTATCATGCAAACAATTTTTTTTGGGGGGGGACATGTGATTAAAGAGTATTTTATTTTTTGTGTATGTAATTTTTTTTGTCAAACATTTGCTAACCTGCTCTGAAAATGCCAATATTATCTGCAAATATTTTTTTTCAGAAAAGTGTTTCAATCTGTTTTTGTTTTGTTTGCTTGGTGACCTATTGATTGTTTCGTTCCTTGTCGCCTTATAAATATCAATATGGCAACTTTTAAACTACTATTTTGATTGCGATGGAACATGGATATATTGATGATGTATGTTTTTAGATTATAGAATGTCTGTATGAAAGTATGTTGTGAAATCCATAAAAAATTTGTGCAATTTTCAGTAACCATTTGATTTTAATTTAGTGCATTCACCGAAATGTTTTGTTGTAAATGAATTTGTTTCGTAGAGCATATCTGTCATAAGTTTCATTTGTCTGGGTTGAAAAAAAGAAATTATTTAAACAGAATGTGCATGCAAAAAAAATGTACAAATGTATTTTAGATCATTAAAAAAAGAGGTTATACCTTTATTCAAAGACTTTACAGTAAGTCTATAAACTCCCCGTCAATGATCATGAAGAAGAACTACATGGTAAATGTCTTTCCCATAACATGTGATATGTAATTTTTTAAATAAAATACAATAATGTGCATGTTGTAATGCAAATTGTTCGGCTGTCTTTGTGTTGTTTGGATGATATGACATTTGCTCATGGCAATATTTCATCAAATATACAGCTAAGTATAAGATTGGGTTAATTTGATGGTGTACATTTACAAAAGTGACTGACCACACCCCATCTCTCTCTCTCTCTCTCCCCCTCTCACCTCTCCCTCTCCCTCTCCCCTCTCCCCACCCACTCTCCCTCTTTCTCCCTTTTCCCCTCTCCCCCTCTCTCTCTCCCTCTCCCTCTCCATCTCTCTCCCCTCTCCCTCTCTCTCTCTCTCTCTCTCTCTCTCTTTCTGTAGATTTCCTTTCCTATTGATATATAAATGTCAATCGTACAATTCCCCATCAGCCCTAAGTTTTCATTTACTACCCCTTTTCAGCTACCCCTTCCCTCTTTGTATATATTTTACAGTCCAAGACATACTTTATTGTGACAGATTGGATGCATTCGTTTAAAAATGGTGACATTTTTATATTTACATTTAGATGTTCAATTAACATCACTTTTCAATATATATTTGATTTTATTTCCAAGGGTGGACCATGGTAATAACAACAGAGCAAACGATGAGGTATTCTATAGATATATCGTTCTGATATAGTATGCAAGGTCAAACCAGAAGATGTTTGATACAGCATTTGAGCACAAATTTAAAATTGTGTTTGTTAATATACCATGTACACTAAAAATCTCTATGTGTTTTATGCCACAATTCATGTTCATATTTAATTTGATCTCGGGTCTCATTCTGATAATCTTCCTCCTATTCACGGGGCATTGGGGGAAGAGAGAGAGAGAGAGAGAGAGAGAGAGAGAGAGAAAGAGAGAGAGCGACAGGTGAAGAGAGGGTGGAGGGAGGTAGAGAGAAAGAGAAAGAGGAGGGATATTAGGGACAATGGGATAGGTAGAAAATCGCCGAGATGCAGCACGCAGGGGTAGGAGAATAAGAGACAAGAGCAAGGGGGCAAGAAGTAGGGGACATAGAAATAAAAGGAGAGGGAATGACATTGGACGATTCGTTACTTTGAAATTACAAAATAACTTAGTGGCAGGAGATGGATATATATATATATATATACTTGCTCATATTTCTATTACGGTTATCGTGGAATTGTTTTTGCATTTGAAACAAAATTCACCTGTGATCATTTTCTTTTAACCAATGTTTGTCATTACTTATACATTATATGATTGCTACAATAATATATTCATTTTTGTTAACAATTTTTATCTTCTAAGTTTCCGTTCCTTTGGAATCTATAACCATATACCAGGTTAGCAGCATTGACCTTCTCCACCTTTCTGTATCATATCTCATGATATATGAAATATTCCAGTAGTTCCGAAGGTAGGTTTTAGTATCCTTCCGCATATAAAACTCAGTTTAAAAATCAGCTGAAAATCAGATGAAGACAATCACACAAATAGGTGACCTTACGTCCTAAACAATTCAACTTTCTGAAACATGGCCGCGGACATCAATATTGCAAATAGTAGGACTTCAAAAAGTCCGATATGACACTATGATAAGACTTCAAAACGTCCGCTATGACAACAATCAATTCAAGTTGCATTAACTTTCAACTTTTCAAGCCTGGTAGGTAGTCCTCAATGTATCGGTGGTATACTCGTTTCCAGGTATCAACATGTCACTAGAATTCGAACATCGTGACGACATCGTGACGAAACCGTAATGATCATCGTGTCGGACTTCGGTATATGGACACGGTGTCTTGATCGTTTATGATCAGGGGATAAGTAGAGAAGTCACTCCTGCATCACATCTTCTTTCGTTCATTTTTGTTGCTTGTATCTTCCATTTATCTCTCCAAGGATCGTACACTTCCACTGTATCAATGAGCGATTGTCCATCATAGCTGCAAAAAAATTAAATAGAGGGAAAATATTAAAAGTTTGTTTATGACTGAACATGATGGATATCAACGGGAGGTCTTTGGGTCTACTCTTACCATAAGGGAACCCTTTGATTTTTAAATGATTATTCTCTTTTGGTCGATAAATGTGAAGTTTGTCTCTTCATTCCTTTTTTCTTGTGATTGAACTAAAACTGTTATTTCTCACATGTTATCTATATCAACAGATAGATCTATCTTCTCAAAATACATGAAGATCCAAATATTCAAGGCGGATTTAAAGGGGATACAACCGGCCCATACCCAGCCCTCTTCGTTCAATTCTAAACTCGCATAAACTAAGTGCATATTTCATGCTCCTTTAAATTTAGACCCCAAAAGGCACTGGAAAAATGTGGAAAACTTTTTTGGAGTGGGGCGTGTCATATTTTTTTTTTTGGGGGGGGGATGTGCACCCTCTCCTATTAAAATATCCTTGATCCGCCCCTGTATATAAAATATAAAAAAATCAACTTTAATTTCCCATTTATACATTCATCAACGATCAACAGATTTGTCCTTACCCCGACACCGCATATATTCTCCCATGGATAGTAGCTCCCCCTGCATAGCATCTAGGTGAGTTCATATCGGAGAGTACTGTCCATTTATTGGCACGAGGATTAAAGCATTCGACTGATGCGATGTGCTGGGTTCCATCAAAACCACCGAAGACATAGATCATCTCATTTGCAACAGTAACACCAGCTCCTTGAATACAGTCATGAAAATTAAAAAGATTAAGTCAAAAGATATCAAAATCAGTGACAAGTTGTTGAAATGACAATTAGAAATATTGCAAGAAAAATAATACTGACATAACTGATGTTATATGATAAAACATAGATCAATCGATTTTTGAGAGGACTAGAAGATTGTCAATTATGTTATTCTACATACATGAGAATTCTATTTTGTATATACTAAAAACCATTGGCGTATAGGTATATGGGACCAGGGGCAGGGATAGGGCCCAATTCGTGAGGAAATATTTAGCGGCGACTCAGCCGGCTAGCCGAATTTTAAAAACTATTTTTTGGCCAGGGAGGGGGCCTGGACCCCCGGGCCCCCTGGATCCGCCCCTGCATGGGACACATGCCTCCATCCTCCTATTCCTCTTATAGCGAAAAAGAAAAAGAGAGAAAGAAGGGAGAGTTGAGGCAACGTTAAAAATTACACGAATATCACTCATCACTCTTCCCTTATTCTGTGGCCTTTTTTTAAATCTCACATCTCATACTTTATCTACATAGTAAGTTCGGAGCTCCCCCCCCCCCCCCACTCCCCCTGCCATGCTGGACCCAACTATAAAACCCTGTGAATCAAAATATATCTTCCTGAGATAAAACGAACGGTGCCTAACCTGATCGTTTGATATTCATAGGCGGGGCTGGCATCCATTGCCCACTGTTCGGATCATACACCTCCACCGAACTCTGAATGGAGACGCCATCGTATCCCCCGATGCTGTAGATGACGTCATTGGTAGCAACCAGCCCCGCCCCTTCTCGACATACATTCATTGGGGTGACTGGGGACCACCTGTCGATTTTAGGGTCGTAGGCCTCTACGGAGTTGTGCCGAGAATCGCCGTCGAATCCACCAGCTACATAGATTAGCTCTAGATGCATGGTTGGAATTTGACAGAAAATTAAGGCGGTCAAATGATTAAAAGTATACCTTCGTTTATTGAGAATCGTCAAACAGAATTGTAAAATCAAGACAAATC